CGTGATCCAAATACTCTTAACTCTGCTGTAGTCTTACCTTTGATCCATGGGGATAGCTACTGCTTGTGGTGAAGATTTGATCGCTGTTCAAAAGCCAAGAACATGAAGAGTGTCGCTCGATAACGTTAGAACTGATTCCATATAAGGATGAAGAGACTAGATGGTTATGGCCTTGGCTTTTTGGAGGCATTCGTTACTCAAGTCAATAGTTTTCATTGGATCTGGAGATCGATCATATCCTTATTAACAGAAGACGCAGTATTTTCGAAGGCCGTGTCGTTCGATTTTTCTGGGTCGTTTTAACCACAAAATAGGAAAGAAATCTGATTATCATGTGGAAAAGGGAACGAGTCGTATAAAACCAGCTTATCCACAGTAGTGCCCTATGCAATTAAAACTGATGCGAAAGCGGTGATTCGTTGCTAACTACGAGATGCCGCTGAGAGAACAACCTATGTTCAACAAGGTTTTCTCAATCAAAAGTGAACTTTGGGCGTTTACCATATAAGACCAAAAAACTCTAAGAAAGAAAAGGGACCTCCAAAGGATCGTACTCCTACTCGTATCGAATACCCCCAAAGAGGGAAATAATTAGGAAATGTCATCGAGATCTTCGCGTTAAATATCCAACAAGGCACAATATACACTTAGTATTGTTGGTATTAAAACAATGTTAAAATAAATATTTACTAGTTTAGTTTCACAGCATGCTTAACGACTTCGGACATTTAGTACCAGCTCCATATCGGTATATTTTTAAAATTTATTATGAAACCAAGCATAAAATCTTTTTTTTCTGATGGGCTACCCTCTTTTATGAGTTGGGAGCATAACCTGGTTGACCTCAAATTGTTCTCCCTTGACCTTTGGCAGACGAACTGCCTGAGGGACAATTTTGTGTTCTTAACGGTAACTCGATCTACTACACCGTTAAAAACCCTTTACTAGCGATAGCACCTCTTTAGCATCTGTTCATCTTTTTTACTATAAATTACCTAACAGCCGAAAATGGCACCTAAGAAATTATTGCTTTTGAGTATTCTGGAAAAGCTGTTGATCCATTTCAGATTGACCTTCATCGAAGGTCTACTTTTATTGGGACGGCAGAGTGTTTCGGCACTCATCGCCAACTTCATTCATTTTCGGATTCCACATTAACATACCAAGACCATCGACTTCTTCTTGTTTATTCTCAATGAGATGTCGAAAATGAAGCTAATAGCATGTTCCACGGACATGATGCAGTCCTATAAAAACCAAGTTTTTTCGTTAAAATCCATAAAAAATAGCAAATACTCGACGTTGTTATGACAAGAATTATGACAACAACAAACAAGCAAACATTTACTAGTCTCCCACGTCCGACTTTCTATTAACCTCGGCATTCATTAAATAATTCTTTCTAAATCTGCTCAGTAAACACGAGGTGTTATTTTATTTCTTTATTTACGTACAAGGTGACGTTTCGGCAGATTTCGCCTTCCTCAGAGCCTGGAAAAGTCAAGTTGACAGCAACCTATTCGGCCAAACACCTCCATAACCAAACAAAGAAAACGCCAGACCAAGATTTCAATAATATTTTAGATGATTTTAAGATTTTTGGTATGATTTTAAAGATTTCAACATTATATTAATAATGTGAATTCTGTGCGGTCGGTCTTCACACGACATACTCAGTGGAAGACTCATAGAAAGCGGTGAGTGTGCAGAGCTATGTTAAATGTGATTAAAATCTTGGTTCAGCGTTTTCTCCGTTTGGTTATGGAGGTGTTTGGCCGAGTGGACTGCTGTCAACTTGACCTTTCCAGGCTCTGAGGAAGGCGAAATCCGTAGAAACGTCAGCTTGTACGTTAATAAAGAAATAAAGTAACAGCTCGTGTTTGTTGAACAGAAGTAGAAAGAATTATTCAAGATTTCAATCTCATTTAACACAGCTCTGCACACTCACCGCTTTCTATGAGTCTTCCACTGAGTGTGTCGCGTAAAGACCAACCGCACAGAATTCACATGGAAGCGTAATGTGCCCCTCCTATCAGAATAGCAGGTTTATATACTGTACAATATCACGCGTTATAATGAGGCATTCTTCACTGTGGTTCATTTTCGGATTTCTGGAATTAATCCAGAACGCCTCGAGAGTTTTGCACGCTTGTGTTCTCGATTAATGTGCAAGGATCGTGACACGTACTTCAACGTCCTCCCCGTTATGTCTCTGGATCCCATGCGTGCCTAGCGGGGTATTTGGTATATGTTTGCCGGCTAGGTGTTCTTTTATGCGGACACAGGCCTTCCCGTTTTACCAACGTATTCGTCTCCGCACCACGCCTTACAGGAGATCAGATAAACTATACCCGAGCTCATGCAATCACCGTCTCTACCACTGGGGCAAACCATGCAATTTTGAGTTGCACATAGACGGTCATTTATGCGGTTACGAACTAGCTGGCGCCTAGGATTACTCGGTGGCATTTCAACTACGTTTGCCGCATTCTCTAGACCCGCCCTTCTTAAGCAGCGTTTTATAGCTGCACATACACCATTTGGGATGAAGGGTAGGATAAACGGGACATTTTTATCGCTAGAGTTGTCTTTTGGGGGCCTCCGACTTTCCGTACACCTATCCCGAGCTACAGTTTCGTAGCCATTTGAAATGGCTATTTGCCGTTCCGGGACTCTTCTCTCTGCTCTCCTACCGTGCACACGTTGGTTGCTGTTCGAAACATGTTTCTTACAAGCGCTCTTTTCATGTGAGAGGGGTGAGCAGAGAGGTAATGTACCAAGGTGTTTCTACTACTTGGCTTTCGGTACCACTTCGTAATGTAGCCGTTTTCTGACAGGTTAATTTGGACGTTCAGGAATGGAAGGCAATTTTTTTCGGTTTCTCTTGGGTGAGCTTGATATAGTCTGACTGTTTATTCAACAACTCAAAACATATGCCCATTTCCTGTTGTACTGAGCAAAGGAGAAGGCAGTCATCTATATATTTACAGTAGTGTAACGGCCCGAGATCGGTCATCGGTGCTTCCACCTTAGACATAAATGGAATGGCGAGACGCTGTTCCATTGCCAACCCTCTAATTTGAGCGTAGTACTTTCCGGACCATCTGAAGATTGAGCAGCTCAAGCACTCTTTTAAGAGTGCCATCAACTGCTCTATCTTGAAGCCATACATGTTTATTTCTCCTTCATGTTGTATACGGAGTTCGAATATGACTTGCATTGCGAAGTCATTCGACAGGTTTGCATAAAGGGCGGTAGCGTCGAAGGGCTCCATCACGTACGCGCTGCTGGGCTGCGCAATACGTAGACGATCCAGTAACATCTGGGTATTCGCAAAATTGCAAAATTTGCCCAATGGTAAAGCCGGTGATTGCATGAGCTCGGGTATAGTTTATCTGATCTCCTGTAAGGCGTGCGGAGACGAATACATTGGAGAAACGCGAAGACCCCTCTGTGCCCGCATACAAATACCCCGCTAAGCACGCATAGGAACCAGAGACATAACGGGGAGGACGTTGAAGTACGTGTCACGATCCTCGCACATTAATCGAGAACACAAGCGCGCAAAACTCTCGAGGCGTTCTGGATTAATTCCAGAAATCCGAAAATGAACCGCAGGGAAGAATGCCTCATTATAACGCGTGATATTGTACAGTATATAAACCTGCTATTCTGATAAGAGGGGCACATTACGCTTCCATGTGAATTCTGTGCGGTTGGTCTTTAAGCGACACACTCAGTGGAAGACTCATAGAAAGCGGTGAATGTGCAAAGCTGTGTTCAATGTGATTGAAATCTTGGTTTGGCGTTTTCTTTGTTTGGTTATGGAGGTGTTTGGCCGAGTAGATTGCTGTCAACTTGACCTTTCCAGGCTCTGAGGAAGACGAAATCCACCGAAACGTCAGCTTGTACGTAAATAAAGAAATAAAATAACACGTCGTGTTTGCTGAGCAGAAGTAGGAAGATTTACTAGTCTGTCGGATGAAGGTGGTGCATAGGTCACACCAACATCGAAGTGGGTAAAGTAAAAATAAAGCAAGCGTTTTGTAGGAAGTCTTAATAATTAGTTTTGTTCTTACTTTCCTTACAAACCGAAGCCAGTATATTTTGCATAGGATATTTATTTGGAAGTGAGACGTACGATATCTATATATGATGCGTAGTTGTTTCTTTGAGACCACTTCACTTATAAAGAATAGGTGCTGTGGAGTGTACAAACGTTAATAAATAGTGGGTATTAGAGAAAAGAGATCATGACAGAAATTCATTGTTTTGAAGAAACCTAAACTCATGCGGTGATATTCACCATACTGCTGTCCACTGCTGGACCATAATCGCAAACGGAAACTGCTCTCCGAGGAAGATCCTACGTTGCAATTCCCATTTTTTCGGTGCTACCAATTTTATTGCTGACTTGGAATGGACGTTTTGTTATCGTGAAAGTATTCTTTCCGCCTGATTCAGGACATACATCAAACTTTAGATTTTAATATTCGTTTTCTTCTATATTCACTTTGTATACAAAACGGAAAAAAACATGTCCAATGAGTAGAACTAACAGAAATAGACAATAATATAAGCAAATAGATGAGAAAAGGTTATGTCTAACAGCATATTCTCAAATGCTGTGCTCGGATTCTGATTTGATTCCATTCCTTGCCGAAAATAACCGAAATCCTTGAGTAGCAGCTGATTAATTCCGAGTGGTTTGTTATCTCTAATCTCCGTTCCTAATCGTGTGTAACGGAATGGTTAAACGCACCATTCCACACATAATTGTAGGGTCGATTCAACCAAAACCAATCACGCTTTCCATACCTCCGAGTTGGCGAATGCTACTAAACTACTCTGAAACGGTAAAAGCACTGAGATAGAACATGTTAAGACCTGGAAAGTTGTTGTGTAGGCCAAATATAACTCCTCCGTTCACTTCTACAATACTCAGCGAAGTCGAACTAATGACACATCCCTAAAGCATTGATCAACACCGAACGTTTTATCTTTTACTTCTAACAAGCCTTTCCACCCCTAAGTCAAAAACCCTTTCCATTTTGTTGATGTCATCCGGATTTATGATGTTGTGCGATGTCATCAACTCCATACACCGGCACCAAACTCTTAAATGTTGTGATGGGGGATCGGAGCAAACAGTTAAGATTGATGCAGATGCCACTAAGTAATTCACTCAAACACATAGTTGACAGTACCTATACCTTATTTCCTGCCACACTGTCGGAATATATGAGAAATAGCGAACTTTAGAGGATCGTTAACGTCAAAAGTTCAGACACAACTACAAATAATACAAGATTCAGCTCTTTTCAACATAGATATTTGTAATATTACCTATGACCGATGTTTAAGCTAGCTTAGTTGAAGTTTCACTCTCATTAGCAGACAAGTAGTATTCTTGAAAATCGGAGCTAAGCAGAGTATATTCCATCTGTTCAATATTTGTCCTCTTCACACGTTTCTCTCGCCTTTAGAGTTTTGGTCTATGTGCATCAGGTGCAGGTTTTCCATGTTTTTTGATGAAGATTTTCTGTAACTGTGCTGCTATAGCCACGACTCAACGAATATTAGTGGTTTCACCGATTGTAAACAATTAATTGGTTAGATTTCGAACAGATTAGTTCATTCGAGAAATCGGTGCAGAATGGCACAGCGCATCTGTGTTAACGTTCTATGAACATTCAGTGATGACACTCGCATCAAGGTCTCGCTTCATATTTCTGATCATTTCCTCCCTGCTAGCGCTGATTTCGACGGCGATCATCGCCAGCTGTTTATTCTCAGTTAGTTTTCGTTATATAACCGACCATGAGAACCTAAAGGGAACGCGCTACTATGGTTTGATACGGTACTGTTTCGAGTCCGAATATCAGACATTCGGCACAGGTGAGTGCCGTTTTTCTTCTGCTGCTATATTTTTGATTTCAATTCTCAATTCATGAGTGGTATTTGCGATGTCTAGACGATTCGAATGCCGATGTGTGCTATCTAAGAACAGCTGCACCGAAGCATGCGAGTAAGGTCGACTACAAGGCGCAATATGGAGGTGAGTAGCCATCCGGTCCAAAGCTGACTCGATTCTCTATATAATAACTCAATCCCCATTCTACCTTTTTTATTCATTCATTCATTCTAGAACGGTTTCTTGACATGAAAAATTATCTTCGTTTAACAACCACAACATTGCTGACATGTCTGCAAAACTCTAGACCGCAGGCGTCTGCGGTGAGAAATAAGCGCACTGTTACCCTTTCCGGTGGCTAACGCGTTCACCACCACACCATGCGGGTCCTTCGTTTCGCCTGCCTCTAGCCTAGTTCTATCGATTAGTACCATCAGCAGTCACCCGTCTATGGGATTGATCTGGGGAGCTCATATCGGCACTGAACCCAGTTCAGCTGAAGCTGGAGTTTGAATAACAATATTTTACTTTTTATTTTTCGCCTACTACAATTTTTACGGCAGGGTATTAAGCGAGAAACAACCACAACGTTGCTGAGATATTTGCAAAATTCCGGACTGGGAATGTCTGCGGTGAGGAACGAACGCGCTATTACCCTTTCTGGGACTAACGTGTTTACGATTAAGAACACGTGGATCAATTCCTGCTTTGACAATCTTCGTCATTTAAGCGCCGACATCAAACTATAACGAAGAAGAAGCGCTAAGATTAGACCAAGAAGAACGTCTGAAGAACGTTACATTGGGACACACGGATTAGAATGGAACGAACAGGGTGAGCGGCTATTTGAGTTTATCATGGCGAGCAAGACAATCCATGGTAACTCGAAATTCCAGAAGCCCCACCCTCGGCGCTGGACGTGGGAGCCTCCCAATGGAGAGTACCATAACGAAATAGACCACTTCATAGTAAATAGAAAGTTTTGTCTAACCGACCTCGCTATCGTCCTAAAATTCTACAGGGGATCAGACCACCGCCTCCTTCGTGCAAGATTCTATTTCTCGCGGAAAGGAGAAAAAGCCGCTAAATTTCAAAACCGATGTTCCAGAACCACCGTAAACTGGGATTTATCCAATTCATTAATCGGTTGTTGCGAAGTTGGGAAGATGCCATTGTCGATAACATCGACGAACGATACAATCGGTTAATTCAACATCTTCACGTTAGCGCTATGAAAGCTCAGAGTTGGAAAGTCACCAAGAGACGTCTGTCTCCACAAACACTCGAGCTGATACGCCAGCGTGGTATCGCACGAGCTGCTGGCAACCGCGAACTAACGACCGAATTTGCAAAACAATGCAGACAGGCGATAAAAGAAGATCTTAAAGAGAGAAGGGCAGCAGTAATGATCGGAGCTGCAGAGGCTGGGAAAAGCATTCGCAAAGCCCACCGAAGCTTCGCCAATTACAAGACCAAGATGATTGCACTCTGACGCCCAGAAGGAACAGTTACAACGTCCAGAAAGGCAGTGGAGAAAATCATTCACGAGTACTACTCGGATCTCTTCGGTAGCCACGTCGACCTTCTGCCGTATGAAATTAAGGTGGATGGATATGTCGTACCACCGGTTCTCCCTTCCGAAATCCGACATGCCATTTCGTCGGTGAAAAATCGAACAGCACCAGGTTCGGTCAGGATAAGACCAGAACACCTGAGGAACCTTCCGCCAGTCCTCGTAATCACACTGGCTCGGCTCTTCACACGTTACCTGTCTGAATGCAAGATCCCTACTCAGTGGAAGACCAGCCAGACCGTGTTATTGTTCAAGAAGGGTGACCTACACGACATCGGCAACTATCGCCCAGTCTGCTTACTGTCTGTCGTCTACAAACTTTTCACTCGAGTCATCCTAAACAGGATTGACAGAAAACTAGACGAAGGACAGTCATGTGAACAAGGAGGGCATCGAAGAGGTTTTGCTACGATGGATCACATCCACACGGTAACACGGCTCATTGAAGTATTGCGAGAGTACAAAAGACCGCTCTGTCTCACTTCCATCGATTTACTGGCCTTTAATTCAGTTGAGATAGAAGCAATCGGGGAAGCCGCTAATAGTCAAGGAGTCCCTACTCAGTACATAAAGATTCTTCGTGAGCTGCACAAAAATTGCACAACCAAGATATCACCATTCCACAACGATATTAACATTGACGTCAAAAGAGGAGTTAGGCAAGGCGATACCATCTCGCCGAAATTATTTACCGTCACCCTCCAGGAAGTCATGCAAACATTGGAATAGGATAATATGGGAGTGAAAATCGATGGTCGGCAGTTACATCGTCTTCGCTTTGCTGATGACATCGTCCTTACAATACCAAACATTAGCCAAGCGGAACGTATGCTCGACGACTTTGATAAAGCCTGTGGAAAGATTGGTCTTCGACTAAATCTCACAAAAATAATGTTCATAATGAACGGATTCGTTTCGCATGCCCCATTTACGCTCAAAGGGACGAATATCTCCGAATGCTCCAATTATATCTATCTAGGTCGGGAAAACAATATGATGAACGGCTTATCTCGAGAGCTGAGCAGAAGGAAACGAGCGGCTTGGGGAGCTCTTAAGAGCATCGAGGATGTAGTGAAGAGAACAAAGAACACCCGACTCCGTGCCCCAGCGTTACTTCCTGCCCTAACGTATGCCTCAGAAACCTGGTCGCTGCGTAAGCAGGATGAAGATCACTCTGCGTTATTGAATGCGCAGTCGAAAGGACGATTCTAGGAGTATCCCATTCCACACAAGCAAAGGACGGGATACGAAGCTCCGGCCTGCATCAACGATCAAAAATCAAAGATGCCGTTCTGTACGCCAAACAGTCGAAGATAAGGTGGGCCGGACACGTAATGCGTATGAATGGCAACCGTTGTACAAGGGCCGTTAGTGACTGGATTCCTTGGGATGTCAAACGTAGTGCACGAAGACCACCGCCCCGATGGTCAGAGTTCTTAACAAAGAGCCTTGAAGAAGGATATGATGCTCGACGAGTCCCTAGAGCGAGCAGAACCCACTGGGCTACTCTTGCACGCGACAGGGAAAAATGGAAGATTTACTGGCGCTCGCTCGAGTCACTCGACGATCAACAGGACTACAGGTGATACAGATGATACAGGGACTAACGTGGGTGATTGTTGATGGCACTGATCGATTGAACTAGGAGAGATACAGGAGAAACGAAAGACTCGCATGTTATAGTGGTGAAAGCGGTAGCCAGCGGAAATAGTAATAGCACGTTCGTTTCCTACCGCAGACACCTGCGATCCAGAGTTTTGCAAATATCTCAGCGACGTGCTGGTTGTATTTCGCTAAATACTCTACAGTAAAAATTGTAGTAGGCAGATTATAAAAAGTAAAGTGTGATATCTTTGTTATGTTTTTACTCAGGTACTGATTGCCAATAAAGCGAAACTGAAGGATGTTGTTAACATTAAGTCTGATTAAACCATATAGTGCGAGCGTGTGGCGCAGTGGTCGGAGGCGCCCCGCAATACACATGGGGTCGATCCCAGCGCCTAGGGAACCACCAAGCCCTCCGTCTCTTCGGGATCGGAAAATTGGTATCAGATTTGTTTGCGAACATTTCACTCCCTGAAATCCAAGTAGCATCGCTCTAATTCGGCTATCCCAGCACTGCACAGTGTCGATACAACAGTAGGCCACGGCGAGTCATTGTAAAGACCAGATATGCATGCAATCACCTCCAAGGATGCTTAATGAAGTCAAATGCGTGCCGCACCCCTCAGGGATTGATCAAAGCCGAGAGCTTTATCCTTTATCCTTTAAACCACATGGATAAAGCAAAACCTATGTCATGTAATAAACCCGTAAAGCTCTCTATCTATCGGAAAGCGATCATACATTTTCGAAAAGCCACCAATGTTCGTTATTTGTTGTAATCGTGTCCCAGTTGTACTGTTTGTGCAGACGATATTAAATGTAATCCAAACGCTATGCATGCATATTTGAGCATCGAGCTTCTTCTGTCAAATGGATAATGCACTTAATGGGTAGAACACATTTAGTAGATTGCACTTACAGTACTTCCTGACTACCAAAGAGACACCTCATCTTCATGAGATCATACACATTTTTGTTTATGTTGAGCACAAGGATCACAGTATAAACAATGAACAAGGAAAAATTCAAGAAAAGCGTTAAAATTTACATCTTTATGCAACTCATGTTTTTCTTTTTCTAAGCTGATAAAAAAGGATAGAGCTCTCGGCGCTGATCAATCCTCGAGGGATGCGCCATGCATCCGACTTCATTAAGCATCGTTCAGAGGTGATTGAATGCATAACTGGCCTTTACAATGACTCGCGGGTGGCCTATCAATGTATCGAACCAGTGCCGTTATCCTCCAGAACAAGTCTAGTACCAATTTGTCGACCCCGGAGAGATGGTGGGTTTGGTGAGCATAGTACGCAGGATCCTGTGTGTACTTCAGATTGCTCTTCAGATCCTGCGCCTACGATCACTGCGCTACACACTCCCCATTGCAAGGTGAATAACTTCTAGTCTAATCTAACGCTTTTTCTAAATAGAGTGCTGTAGTAGGGGATACAGTTTAAACTTGATCAAGTTGAAGAAGAGTCGATTCACTGCAAACGAACACGAGGTAGAGTTTTGGGGACCAATGTTTAGTATCTAGTTCTTGAATGAATGAGGTTCAAGGAAATACTTGTACCCTCGCGACCTGTACTAACCTCACGTCGGCTTAAGAAGATCAGTTTATAAGATCATATAAATAAATACTTCAAGGAAATACTTCTGAAATTTCGATATTTACACTTAGTGTTAAATGAATTGCATTTCTATGAAAATGTGAAATTCAAATATCCGCTAGAATGTCGAAATAGGAATGTATCCTCATAATTGAACACCTGCCGGAAGCCGAACATCGAAAGCAAACCCATGCCAAGCTTTTTGTCCTTCAGTGGAGTTTACATGGAGATCACGGAAGTTAGCAAATAGAAGGGGTCCATAGAAAGGGTCCATGTTCATTCATTCCTATCATGAAGAGTTGAGTATCCTCATGTAAAACTTCATATGGAGATACTGCTCAGGAAGATCGATTTTTTGCAGAGTTCGAACTGGCCACATTGATATTGCTGTCTTCGGCGATAGCAAGCAGTCTACTGTCTATATGTTTTGCAATCTTCACAATCTTCACAGTATTCGGAGCACTGGCTCACTGCGTAATGCTACTTACAGCTAGTAAGGCAATAATATTACACCAGAAAATAAAAAGTTGACCCCAATATTATGACCATTCTTTGCATATTGAGCAGTTGTACACTCAATAGATCCTCACAACGGTTTACCGTCTCATCGTGGCTCGGAGGTCTTCTTGGGCGTCGGGCTGCGATGTACAGCGGAGGATTCATACCCCAGCAGGGCCTCTCAAGCTGAGGAGTGCGGCGCTTCCATCAGGAAGCCTAACTAGGAGTATACCAATACCGGGATCCACCACTGTCCTGGTATCAAAGACACATGGTGGTAAATCTCCCCCTAATCCGCAAGGGATGCGACTGCCTGGGGTGGTGACGACCTGGGACAGACTTTCGCTAGACTAACCTCGGGACTCCAGGGAACCACAATGAACCAGCAAAACTCCGAAACGATAGAGATTTGCTGGGGTCCGCAAAACCTGTGACAGGCCATCCAGCTATCCAAGTATTATACACATTAGATAGTCTACCTACACAACAACAATAGTAGATTTCTCTGTACAGAAAAGGAAAATTATGATGTATTGTCTTTTATAATGTGATAGTCCTCGTTTCCAGCAATTTGCTCGATCTCTGCGTTCGTTGTTTACACGTACTTTAACGAACTCAAAGACAATCAAAACGAGACCGTTAACGGTAACATCATACGGGTAAGCAGTACAGCAATGACTAACATTGTTTTATCAGGATTAGCCTTTCACAAACTACTCTACTATTTCAGTACCATTTCGGCTGGGCTTATTACTGGAGTGGTGGATCATCCGCTGGCCTTTTCGTTGCATTTATTTGCAGTCTATTCGCTTCTGCTTGTGTACTGCTGCATAAGCAACAGAAGAACAGGATTGACTCTATCGTCCTGTAACATTTAGATCGATCGCTGTCTTTCCAAGTTATTAGCTGCCTTCTGCTCAGTCACTTCACTTGAATAACTGCTACTCCATATCACAAGGACAGATTATTTCCAATAGCCTCAATGACTAGCCACCTGCCTCACGGGCAAACATTCCCAGTGATCTGACTGCATTCGCTTTCCCGAAGCAAACGATTCTATGTAATTGCGCTCGTTGGGATATCATCAAAAGTCTTTGAAAAAAGAAAGTTTATCCGCAACAATTTACAAACCAAGACAGTCAACGAAAAACGGACATTATTAACCGGAATAAAGTCGAAAAAAAAACAAGCACGAAAGCAAAATTTCAAGAAAGCTAGAGACTACTACTGAACAAAAAACAAGACTAGTTGGCAATCCTACAAAGAAATGTTACTTCCTTTAAAATTTGGCTCTTTAAAATGCTCCACTAGTTGGTCTTCTTCTCATTATGGGTGTCTTTGGTTCCCTTCGAAGTTTTATCAGTTAAATGCTCCTCGTTGTAATTCCATAACTCCTTAAAAACAAGTATTAGTTCCGAGACATGACCTAATATCAGTGCTTTCTTTTGTATTTTCATGATCTTATACTATAGCCTCCTAGTAGTCTTCAGTCATCAAGAAGCTTCTACGTCTCCGTCGATCTAAAACAAATCCCATAACAAAAAAGGGTTCCGGCGATAACAAGAAACAATTGCTAGAGAAATTTCAAAGACCGAGTTCCAATCTCGACACTAATTAATTTATCTTACGAACATTCCTTTTTTGAGACTTAACTTTTTGAGACTCGTTTGGATGGATGCTAAATAAAAAATTGCTAGAAAAAAATTTGGAAAATTTGATGAATCGATGCTTGGATTTGGATGTACAAATTTGGATGCTCGGTAGCTAACGTTTCGACGACTTCGCCTTCTTCTTCAAAGCCGTTTATGTCTTTAAAAAGCGATAACAATGCGTAGTTCACATGACAATGATTCACGATTCTTCTGAATCATTAGCCACCAAGCACATTATAGCATATATTTACAATCTCGTGTCAGCTAGAAACGACGGTACAGTCGCAATCGTAAGCATTGATTCCAATGCATTATATCTTTTTGACTGTCTTATTACCACACACATGTTCTTTGCAAAGTTTTTTTTGTGTATTTAATCGACACAGCATAGATGATTCCATACTATTTATTTCCGTTCTGTTCAAAAAAGCCTTTTCTCTAAATACTGAATCTACGTACTTTTATAGGTTTTCATGAATTCTAGTGATTCCTCAATGTACAGCGAAAGTAACATGGAATACTGCTGGTGAAAGAAGGACCATAAAGTGCTCGTACTCTGGATGGACATTCCGAGCTGTGCCTATTGAGTTGTATATATATGTCCTACTAAGCAGAGTCAGATATCTCAACTACTGAAAGATAGGCGTAGCTGCGAATATAGCGATATAAAACTAAACAGGAAACACTTGAAATCTCTGGATTCGTTATAATCAATTTTAAAAAATGGAGTTATGGTTGCAAAACACATAAATCTGGCCTTATGTTGAATTGTATATGTAAAAAATGACAGTAATGATAACAATAGTAATAACAATGATAGCAATAATAAGTAATAATAATAGTGGTAATAATAATAATAATTAATAATGACAATTAATAAACATAATAATAAATGATAGTAATAATAATGTTTAACGTTTTGTTTTCTGCCTTCTATAATTTTCATGGCAGGTTACTAAGCGAAATACAACCACAACGTTGCTGAGATATTTGCAAAACTCTGGACCGCAGCTGTCTGCGGTGGGGAACGAACGCGCTATTGTCCTTTCCGGGGAGTAACGCGTTCACCACCACACCATGCGGGTCCTTCGTTTCGCCTGTCTCTCGGCTATTTCTATCGATCTTTCTGCCACAGCATCGATACTCCCCGGAAAGGACAATAGCGCGTTCGTTCCCCACCATAGACACCTGCGGTCCAGAGTTTTGCAAATATCTCAGCAACGTTGTGGTAGTAATAATAATAATAAATGGTAATGACAGTGATAATAATAATAATTGAAAAGTATTCACATATCATATGGATGATGGAGTGTACAAGACGCATACATAAGCCATTCCTACTTTAAAAAAATAGAAAATCAAATCAAGGAAATTTCATTAGTCTTTAGTGAACGCTTACCGATGATACAGATGTGCCTGTGAGTGTCGAACTTCGATGCAAAACGAGGATTCATTATCTGGTAATTCGGATGGCATTATAGACTCAATTTCTAAGGGATGGAATATTGGCCAACATTGGAATACCACGCCTAGATTTTTGATTAATTATCGGCTTGTCTGGATGGGATCAATTCTGGCGCTCTTGGCCCACCAAGTCTTCTATCCTTCTAGGGTCGCCAAATGGGTACCAGACTTGTCTGGGAGAATAGCAGCACTGACTCGATACATCGGTAGGCCGCCGCGAGTCATTGTAAGAGCCAGATATGCATTCAGTAACCTCCAACGGTGGTTAATGAAGTCGAATGCATGGCGCATCCCTCAGAAATTGATTAACGCCAAGAGCTTCACCCTTTTATCTTTTTATTGGCTTGTCATTTGCTAAGTAACAAAAACAGCCCAACTAGCATATAGAACAAACAACGCCTTCAGTCAGACACAACAAACTCGGACTAAAAACTAGTCCATGAACGTTAGTAGCCTGTGCAGAGCTTCGGTGAAAACTCTGGACAAAAACGACACATCGTGAATTAGAAAAATTTTTGTTAATTCGAGTGCAAAGACAAGATCAACTGGTACATCCGCAGCAAATAGTTTTTGAATAGTATCTGATATTCAATATAGGATAATGTCAATGATACGTGTTACATCCAAATATATTTGAGGGAAAATCCGTACACCACGATTGAGTGCGACCATAAGAAACGAAAAAAAAACCGCTTTAAAGGAGAGATGTTGTAGCGCTCGCACGATACGCAAGGACAGGTCATCAAGATCATTTCGCTTGCAATTCAGTCTCATAAAATTCAGGATACTAGAATTAGGGTGGTTAGTATTCGTAAAGCGATATCGAGCAGGTTATTATTTGCTTCTAATTCATTCGCGATCGAATACCTTGATAACCACATATGCACGGAAGACACACTGTACTGCATGCATTGATTCCAACGCATTCTCCTCTTGGCTGTTTGTTTCGCCGTACAAATTTCCTTTTGCAACATCTTTAAAACTAAGTGGTGGCTATCGACTCGGATCACCTAATGAGCATAAAGACGTCGAAACGTTAGCCGAATAAAAATTGTCTATCAACCTCGTGCAAGCTTATTTAAGAAAGAATATATGTTGGTTAGTAATACTGAGGATACGGCAAAGTCGATTTTAAAATAATTGATGGCTGTCCCATAAATGATGTTGCGTCGTGGATCAGCCGTGAGCAGCTGATCTCCACAGAACACCGCACATAAAAATTGGTTTTCACACAAGTTCACTTACACCGTAACGGAAAACCATTATTCGCGAAGAGGGTACGGAGATATCTCCACTGATAAGATACCATAGATGAGTATATTAAGATGTCCTTCATGTACAGATACAAATACACGAGTCCACCTGCGATTTACTCTTTTGTTTCCAAATTGAGAAACACAGAGACCACTGCTAACGGAAAGAGAGACTGCTAATGAAGTCGCGATGCCCCATTCTTTGGTGAGGTAACAGGCATCTTGGCCGATATGGAGTAAAGTGAAGATATTCCGTGTGACAAGGAAAAAAAATGTGCCCACCGTTACAAAATTATGGATCACAGTTAATGCGTTGATTCTTAAAAGAAAAAAATAACTGAAAACCACATGATGGACTAAAAAGTATTCTCTGTAATATATATTAACTACATATTCCCTGAATACGTTAAAAATCAGGGACTTAAACTAAAAGCTTTTGATATGGCATTTTTTTTACGGAAAACAGACAAACCTTGGCTTCCCCAGTACACAGTGACACCGATAATGGTATCAGAAGACAACACGGCACTAAGTACAGCAGCGCTGGCTGGGCCGCCTGTAATCGGAAAAGAACTGTTTTTAAGAAAAAATTAACCAACCAGATAACAACTTACTCTGAAATGATGCATAACAAGCATGGTGATTAGAAGACCAAGTGCATATGCCATCACAGTGATAGAGAAAAAATACCTAAGCGAAAACGTTCTCAAAGAAAAAGAAAGCATCTAGAAATGGATTTCAACTTTTAAATATTCTGAACTTACCGCCCTCCTTGTTTTCTCACATCTTTTTCGCCAATTCTATGATCAAATCTTCTAAGCAAAGCAATAAATATCCCCGGAATGACAATATCACCAAGCCCTAAAAGATGATTAATCTTATATTTACAGTACTACGGAAAGTACTCATTCCGTCAGAAATGGATAAAATTGTGAACGCTTCTCTCTTTAGTTACTTTTTTAATTTACTACCTATTCTCTTTACGGTAGGGTATTGTATGAAATTTACCCACAATGGTGCTGAGATATTTGCAAAACTCCGGAAAGCAGGTGTCTGCGGTGGGGAACGAATACAATATTACCTTTTCCGGGGGATAACGCGTTCACCACAATAGCAGGTGCGCCCTTCGTTTCACCTTTCTCTCAGTTGCTCGCATTCCAACAACCTCGGAGGAATAACGAAACTAATTAAGGACGGAATCGGATCCAATAATTATTTGCTCACAAAACGCAAGTCACTATATTATGAAGTTGAAAACTCGAATAATCACTTAAAAATGCTCAGCTCTACCAATGACAGAAAACTCTACAATTCCTATTGATCACAATCAAACAAGACCGTAATCCTTACCTAACATACTATGCTTATTGGCATCTTGCCATCCGTGTCTAAGAATATCTTGTGGGAACAGCAAAAGAATAGGAGCATCAATGCCTTTGGCAACCGACGTCATCACATCAGTTGCAAACACCCAAAAAATATCATAGATGAAGAGACCAGCAAGAAGTAGAGATCCAGCCTGAAAAGAATTTAACAAGTAATCCATCAACATTCGTATTAATATAACTGATTCAACAGACCTTGAAGCTACTCAAGTGAAGATTTTCGATTCCATATATAGAAAATGCGATCCCAATGATATTATTTGTAATCCAATGCCTTCGAAACAAATGCGAAACACCGACCAGTAGACAGACTGATATGGCGACTATGTCGTGAGTATCTATCTCCAGTTTAAACAAGTACTCCTAAACGGTATATTTACAATTATAACTCACCCACACCGAATGGTAAGCAACCATTAACTTCGCACTTCTAAACATATTTGAATAGAGCCCATACACGTTCATTTTCTTTTTAGCCGTTTTCTTTGCCCCACTAATTTCAGGTTAAGGCCGCGGAACGGGGCAAACGTCAACCATGCAATCGGGCACCGTATTTGTCAATTTCTCCGAAATCCCGAATAATCGCTTCAGTGTTTGAAATGCGGCCATCGACATGGAAAGCCGAGAAAGTACGTGTCACAACCCTCAAAAGGCCAGAGTTTTATCGCTACTCAATAAAAAGTTGCAGCCAACTGGGAACTATCTGTGGATCCTACCCTTGTTTATCTCAGTAAGGTTCAATATGAGCAGAGTCATATTTGTTTAAAGTTGACATGCTCAATTATTTTTGTGAAGGAGTGGACTGAAATGCATATGTTGTGACTAGTGGATTAATACAGTGGTTAAAGGTGCCCTGCAATACACAAAGGATCGACTCCACTCCCCAGGGTCACCAAGCCTTCCATCCGTCCGAGGTCGGAAAAATGGTAGCAGACCCTTCTCGAAGGATAGTAACACTGGGTCGATACATCGGTAGGCCACTGCGAGTCATCACATGGGAAAGATATGCACTCAATCACCTCTAAGGATGCTCAATGAAGTCAAATGCATGGCGCATCCCTCAGGGATTGATCAACGCCGATACTTTGTCCTTTATTTTATTTTCGTGTTGAAGACCTAAGTATAGAAACAGTGCAGTATCATTTACACTTGTTTCTTTTAAAATCTCTAGGACTTTACACTTGAAAACAAAACGTACAAAATCTTTCTTATTTGCGTCCATTATGTCTCCTTCATCCATTTCTCTCACTCCTTGTCGTAGCGATAGGAAGTACGGGAGGTTCAGACGAGGCCGACGGTTTCCAATAGGTAACAAGGAAAGAAGAATTGAAAATATCGGCTTCAGTAAAGCAGCAAGGGCGACACAACCTAAAAAGTAAGAATAAAAAAGTATAATACTATTCGTATGAAATGCTGAGATATTTGCAAAACTCCGGACCACAGGTGTATGCAGTGGGGAACGAACACGCGCTGCTCCCCGGTAAGGACAACAGCGCGTGTTCGTTCTCAATTGCATACACCTGTGGTCCGGAGTTTTGCAAATATCTCAGCATTTCATACGAGTTATAATACTATACTTCGTTACACTTATAAGAGATAGTTACCTTCCCAGCAAATAAGAACAAGAAGCAATTTGATGATGTGATCCTTTGTAACAGAAGGAACATACTCGAGATATGGTTTAGCGGATTCTGGAACTTTTTGCAACAACCTGAATTATTAAATATATTGCCATGAAGCAATGAGTGATTTTGGTACTTCTTGCAATAATCTGAACTATTAGTCGTACTGCCTTAGAGTACTGATCACTAAAGTATACTAATACTCTCACAACGGTGCTCAAGATCGCGTCTGTTGCGGACTGGATGACGCTTAATTTTCGTTGATATCACTGTGATACCTATGGATGTCACGTCAGCCATACCGGCAGTTTTTATGCACCTCCGACTCCTTTCGACGTCATTTCCGTTTAATAAAGCGGTTTTACACTGCGTTTTGGAAAAATTTCTGTGCTTTTCTTATCCCATGTCTGCATCATGGTCTTCTTTATACGTTCCCATGTTATTGGTGCATATACAACTGTGTGTGAAAAAAAGAACCCGTCCACTAAGCAAACATAGTGCTGCCAGTACTTAATAAAGTTGTATTGCAAGAAATATTACGGTGTTCACCTTGTTTTCAACATACTCCCAATCCCCACAATACACAAAAGTGTGTAAACAGTGTAAATAGCAGTGATTATGAGTTACCCTCCTAACGGTTTACCGCCTCATCGTGTCTGGAAGGTGTTCCTGGGTGTCCGACTGCAATGTACAGCGGGGTATTCATCCTCTAGCAGGGTCTCCCAAACCGAGAAGGAGTCCGGCGTTTCCATCAGGAAGCCTAGCTAAGAGTAAACAAAGACCAGAATCCACCATCATCCTGGTATAAAAGTCGCATGGTGGCAAATATCCCTCTGATCTACAAGGGCTACGATTGCCCGTGGTGGTCAAGACCTGGGGCAGACTTTGGCCAGGCTGACCTCGGGACTCCAGGGAACCACAATGGCTTAACCAGCAAATATGTCCGATAAATGGTGATTATGCTGGGGCCCGCATCAATTTATATAAATTACAACAAGTGTGCCAACGACTTGCAGTACTTCACAACTCTATTGGAAAATTCTTCAAAATATTATTTAGGACTCGGTGATAGAACAACTTCCGTTTGAAGCACAAAAGCTATAGGAAGTAAGGAAAAGCAAAAGCAGATATGTTATGTTTGCAGAGACGTTATTCGTTCTGTTTCTGAGGCCAACATATCATCGCCTGGAGATTGCAGAACATACCAATCCTCCATTTCCACCAAAGGATTATAGATAAGCGCTGCCTGACGCGTACCTAGAAGTTTAGAAACTTTGTAATTATACATGCGCACCAGTTTAAGTGTGTTACAGATTTTTCTTTAAGTTGAATACCTTCAGGATCAATTATTAAAACTCGTTCAGTCCCCACTTCTCCAAATGTATGGCAAACTCCAATGTTACCATGTCCAGATAGTCTTGGAGGTCCATCAATATATCTAGGACCTCTATCCCGCAGATATCATCTTCCACTTACACCATCGTAAGTTCTCTTCCGCATACTCTTCCCCGATAGCATTTCTTAGCAAGAATTAAGGACTCTAAAACCTATGGCATCCAAAGTAAGCAGACCGACACTGAATGAAGTCACAGTAACAAAAATTTCTGTTTAGATAGATCCATTAATACTCACATGTAGTCAAGGTACGGAGTGATTTCATTAGAAGTGTGCCATAGTGATTAAGAATTATATTTAAAATGTGCTACTTCCCAATATGTAAGATCGTAAGGAGAAGAAATAGTGCAGAATCGTATTAGTTGTAAACAGTGTTAGATACACACGAGATAAATTATATTGTAAAGAGTGATAACCCGAACATACTATATGGGCACACATTTGTGAACGCCTAGCTCGTCCACATGGAGATTTTTTGCAACTACTATACCTACTATACAACTATTACACAATTATCATCAAAAAATCCAAGAAGTGCAAAGTGTGAAAAGCTTCACTTAAAGTAATTATGATTGAAATAAGAGAAAATACCGACTGTAAGTACTGGAGCTTGTATGTACAGAATAATATTTGTATGTAGAGTAATCAGATAGCACGTATACATACACACATTGCCAACTGTACATCGCACAGTAGGTTTTTGAAAAGTTTTCAGAACATTCGTTATAGTTGCAGTAGAAGACTTCATGGCTGTTTATAAAGACATTCTGTTGAAGTGCACTGACGAATGCATAGTTTGCGAACACTTCGCCACTTTGAAGAAGTACCCTTGATGATGTATCATCTAATCCTGGTGAAAAACTCTCCCTAAGTGCCGAATCCTCGTGGACAGGTAGAGACGTTGGTGCGCCTGTTCACTGGTCACACTTTCTTCAACAGCAACGGTATCCCGCCTACGGAATTAAGTCGTTCAAAAAAGGTTTTTGTGGATTATTAGGTGAGAAATTATTGATAGGATCTCCTCCTATGGACAACGTCCGCCACAGCACCCGCGTTGGATAAGCTGCGGACTGTTTACAAGAAGTACAGGAAAAAACTTTTGTCCACCAAAAAAAAATCACCGGAAAGAAAATGACACCTATAGGTGGTATTGGACGCAATAGCGTTAAATGAAAAAACAAGAAAAAAAAAGTACGAAATAATTACGGCTATTATCGCAAAATGATCATTTAAAAAATTAACACAAAGAATACCAAGTGTGTATTTCGCTACCCTACCCATGTGATTCAAACTCTCCACCTTTCCAATGTATTCAGTCCTTGGACACACGCACCCATCAGTCATTCGTGTCTTGTACGCGACGGCTATGGAACAAGTAAAGATGCTTCTTAGAAAGTATGCTATTAACATCTAGCTAATAGCAAGTTGCCATTAAGAATTATGTACTATGTAGTTCCAAAAATTTGTAGTGAAAAAATGTCAACAACAGAATTTTGAAACGCTGATCAATAGAACTTGGTGAAATGATCGATTCGAAAGAATACCAAGCTCTTAACAAATGAATACGATTTCTCGACAATCAGAATAATCAGGAACTAAAGAAAACGTTCAAATTCGCCCAAGTATTTTTCGTTTGTTTAAAACCAAACGTACACATCGCACTGAAATCCTTCCATATTGGATCAAATGTTTTAAATCCGACAAAAAATAAAATAAACTCTGCACACCTTAAGGTTTATGAAAATCCTTGAGGCGACCAAGCATATTTTTTCTTTCAAAAAACGTGAAAACGCTGCAATGTCGCAAAATAACTAGCCGTAAAAGGCAGGCCCAAAAATGTCAACAAAGTTCAGAATTAGGAGAATATATGTTCCATGCGATGGAAGGTCGTTAACGTATTAAGAAATCTTACCGTGCATAAGGGCTCGAACTATCATTTCTCGCAAGACTACTATTCAGAAGAGCAGAGTACGCTGGGGGAAGATACATTCCTCCTAATGCTTTGATCCACTCCCGACCATCGGGCCTGAAATAGGATATCAAAGGTAGAAATGAACGTTGCTGTAAATAATAAGACTCCTACATACTTAAAAAATATATAAAGCGTGAATAACACAATAGAAGCCATGAAGGGAAATTTCTTCGCCTCGGCCACTGATATTGACGCCTGGAATCACCTCATTTTGCTACAATAAATTAGTCAACTAACGTTGCCTTAAGCTACTTCTAGGATCCATATATACTTCTAAGCAGAAAAAATCCCAGAAACCTCTATTAGTCGTTTCTTGCTCATATGTCGTTTGACAAAATTTGAAGAGCGCACACCACCGATAATGATACACAACAATGACATTGCATACAAAGAGCACGAAGTCATAGCCTAAAGAAGAATAACTAAGAAAACTAGTTTCAAATGAACATTTCCTTACAAACCAGCAAAACTCCGAAAAATGGAGAATACGCTGGAGTTCGCAGAACCGGTCAGGACGGGCGCCCAAATACCCAAGTAAGTAAGTACTTGTTTAAGAACACCAAAAAAGGACCACTCAGCCTGTTTTGAAATTGATGTGTATCCTATTGTGCTTCATAGAAAATCACCTGAAGTTTACGAAGTTTGGAAGATGCTGAATATGCCATTCTATTCTCATTTCACTTCTGTAAACCCCTTTGAAATTTCATTAATCAGCGCGAGAAAATTGATATAGCTCATCCTTTGACAACACACAACACGGAAGTACCATTAATTCAAGATGACCAGAAGGTGGCATACATTATGGCATACACTAATCTTTCCCATTGTTTTCATTTCTTTTAGACTGTTTCCCACGCATTATATTTATGGGATAGGTCAACGATGGGCAATGAAAGCGATCCTGATTTGGTCCCTTTCATTGGGAACTGTTTATGAACAGCCCATACTTTCGGCGCCCTCCTTTTCACACAAACTTACTACATCACAATCCACTAAAGTGATATCTTTGCCCATTGCAATATGACTCTGTGTCGCCACTAGCCATAATATTACGCCAGCGAATAGATTTGGTAGTGCCACGTTAGTAGACCAGTGTCGATTGGAATTACGTCTGATCTGTGGGAAAATCGCAGCGACGCAATACTGGTAACAGTCATCGGGCTAAATAACATAAAAAGTTCAGCGGCAGACCGCACAGAACCAACATAGTTCTGAGGGTTACAATGACATGTGTGGCTCGTCACTTACCGATGATTCGCTGCCGCTTTGCATATGGCGGGATGGATATTATACACTTTTCTTAAGAAAAAAATCGATTCGTCGAGCGACATTCGTTGAACATGGTTCAACATTCATCAGCAGCTCGATTATGGTACAGTTAGACTACAGAACATGTTGAAGATCGCGTCGTACACCAATTGGATGTTTTACCATAAGAGCAGAGACCTTGTCTAGTTAATCCAAGTATACGCGAATGGAACCTTTAGGTTGAAAACTAGCTGAGAGAAAATCAAAGCAAGGGCCTCAGTGGTGCAGTGTGTAACATGCGAGCCCTCGGAGAGGGTAATCGTGGTTCGACCTGGCCTGGGTCCAACTATTGCAAATATCTCAGCATCATTGTGGTTGTATTTCACATCATACACTGCCGTGAGAAATTGTACCAGGCAGCAAATAAAGTGTTAACATTATAAGGGAGTGATTAAAGCCATGCCCAATTGTCAGTAGGATACCACACGAAGAGATAGAACTACTACAGTGCCAAGTAAAGTTCATTTACTACTCCAAACCGGTCGATCGATAAACCGATCTGTAAAAAAACAGCACTCCTGAAGTCTTACCTCTACAGGAGGCTACTTTACTTCCAAGGTAAGAATCTACGGGAAAACCTGTATGTGGACGAGCTGGTAATCAATTCGTTCTCATGTGCATAAATAAAGAGTAGGCAAAGCAATCATTCAAGCAGTGTTTTATATCATGAATGATAATGAAACTATAAGTGGAGAATGTTCAAGACAAGCTGATCCACAAACCTGTTCCTCGAATGTGAACGTCATGTTGGCACTGATGTTCCCCGAAACTTGAGGCGCTGTGTCTGCCATTGCGACCCAACCTTTAGATGGATGGTCACCAAAACACAAGAAAAGAAGACCTGTAGATGAACAGCTGTAAAACTCGTAATAAACGATTACATCCATTGAACGAAAGCAAATACTCTGGAATCAACACTTAAATACTTCCGCTTGTCTCACTTGAAACCCATAAGGTCATTTGCGATGTCCATTTTCACATAATAAGTCGACCAAAAATATCGTTTAGGGCAATACAATTCAATAATAAATTTACAATTTCAATTCGTGATAAGCTTCTGATTATAAAAATAATAACTTGGGGTACTTCATGGCACGTATTCATGAAGAAAGATGGTCAACAATACATATTCTGGGTGGAGTCCGTAGCAGGCGCTGTTCTCTACGTCTTCCACGGAATTTTTTCCTTTGCATGTGACTCAGCGAAACATACGCAACAAGTGTGACGGACTAAACCCACAGAAGTCTGGAAGCCTAAGATCCTTCGCATAGAAATCACGCAAGAAGTAGGTTCTTCTCGATATACTTCCAGAAAAGAGGCTCCATGGTACCATATCTACTTATCACACATATCCACAGACCTCCAACTAGGTTTACTACAAAGACCTAGTAAGTGGAAGGACTTAAGGAGATGAGAAGTGCCACCGGGCAACACGTGTAAGCAGCGTAGCGAGTAGCACCGCCCCTCACCAACCATTGGCGCGTATTGCCACGGATGCGTCTCTGATTGGACACCGCGTCTGCTGACCGGTCTCGACACGCATGCAAACCACGCACTCCCTGCGTTCGGTTGAAAAAGCGTGAGATAAGTAGAGAGTCGGGACACCGCGAGCCGCGAGTGAGGTAGGGGGCGTGGTTGGTCGCGGTTCGCAAGGGAGGTCTATTCGTGCACGTACAGTGACGGAAGTCGGCGCTGAGTTTACGGAATGAGGTCTCGTCTTCTTCTCGTAGCTGTCATCGGCTTAGCCGCTAACCTTGGTGAGTTAATCTTCAGTAGAAATGCACCTCGTAGAAGTACTTATAGCATAGTTAGTGTTCCACTGAGTTATTTTTCGAGTTCCGATGATGTGCGATTGTGCTCAAATTGTTTTCGTACCGATAAAATTTGTTCCTTGATTGGCTCCATATTCTCCTTTTTGAAAAGCTTTGTTTCTGGGTTATTTGTTGACGAACATTTCGGTATGTTTTGATTTGTAAGAGCCGTTGTCGGTAAGTCCAAAGAATAGCATTTCATTTCTCCTATTTTACAATACCAAACACTTCCTCTTAGCTGGCTGAAATGATTTTTCAGTACCTGGTTGAGCGATTTTATAACAATATTAATATTATGGTTATTACGTTTTCTTTAGCGTCTCACAACTCGTGTGTTTTCGCCGAGGATCCGTTAGAAACAGGAGAGACCGAAGAAGGGAAAAGCACTGATCGCGATTCCACTCAACGGTAGGTTTTGCATATCTGTGGACTCGAAATGCAATCTTTTAAAAGGGCAAAGTAGGTGACAAAAAGGATAAAACTTTCGGCGTTGATCAGTCCTTGAGGGACAAGCCATGCATTCGGCTTCACCAAGCATCCTTAGAGGTGGTTGAATACATATCTGGCTTTTACAATAATTCACAGTGGCCCACCGATGTGTCAAGCAGTGCTGCCGTCCTCCCAGACAGGTCTGGCACCAATTTGCCGACCCCGGAGGGGATGGAAGAGTTGATGAACCTGGGGCGCGAGATCGACAGCATAGCGCCGCTGACGACTATGCCTATGCTACATGCGCTCCATATGCTTTGAAGAATACGGATACAAATTCTGACGGATTCACTTGCGAGACAGCAATCGACTTCATAGTTTCGATGCTACAGTCCCATAACTGGTTAATTCTTTTGGAAATTCGGTTGAAAAACTAATCCTTAGTGTTTCTTATCGGTTGTAGTTTGCTAACAAGTGCGATTGGATAGGATTCTTGACAGCCATGTTCCGAAAGAAGCAGAAAAGTGGAAAACAAATGTGGTATATCTACTGAGATGATTTTAAAGCACTTGCAGAGCACTATTTCCTTAATTCGACATAAGATATGTTTTTCCTTTTATGTGTTACAATATGGAAAATCCAAGCTTGCACATCACTTCTTGCTATCATATTTGATGGGAGCGTTTAGTAGTAAGACACTATTGAAATTCCCGTCCAATCACGTTCCTCACGCTTCTAATGGTGAAAACTTTGCACACAATAATTTGTTTTTGGAAGCGGTCGACTTCTGGATAACTTTAGAATCTACTTTTTGACATGGATTAGTACGTGTTAGCATTATCCGATGACAAACCTATAGCCTCCTAAATAAATTCTGAGTAAGTGGGAAGTCACCGGGCAACTTCCACAAAGGTGGTGATGTTTGCCGTACCAGGTCATACGAGAAGTGTGAGTCCTTTGTTTGATTAAGAGCCGCGGTTCTGTCCTAATCGCAAGTGAGTTACGCATAGATTTGTATCTTTTGTTGACGTTGTTATTCTGATGTTAACTTTACAGTGAGGAGAATGTTATTAAAATCGAAGGATTATCTGCCGAACAAGTCAAAGAGATGCGTGCGAAAGCAGAGCAGCACGAATTCCAGGCTGAGGTATGTTACTGTGGCATTGTTACGAAGAGTTTTGATGAGCAGTCGAGTTACATAGAATTCTTGCCGTCTAGGTGAATCGTATGATGAAATTGATCATCAACTCTCTCTACCGCAATAAAGAGATATTCCTCCGTGAGCTGATTTCCAACGCAGCAGATGCTCTGGATAAAATCCGGCTCACTTCACTGACTGATCCCAGTGCTTTGCAAACGAATGATGACCTGAGTATCAGAATCAAGGTGAACATGTTTAGATCACCGTTAGCTCTTCAGTTTATAGAATGCTGTGGTAAATCTGTAGTTTTGTTAGGCCGATCGGGAGAACAGGCTCCTTCACATAACAGATTCCGGAATAGGAATGACTAAGGATGAACTAATGAGCAATCTTGGAACAATCGCGCGATCAGGCACTGCAGAGTTCTTGTCGAAATTGATGGACAGTTCCACTTCAGCAGAAATGCAACAGGTATTCCGCTTATTTTGTTTATTTTTGTAGCAAAAATGGATCTCACTAAAAATTCCAGGATCTAATTGGGCAGTTTGGTGTTGGATTTTACTCCGCTTTTTTGGTTGCTGACCGCGTAGTCGTTACTACTAAGAGCAATGATGATGAACAGTATATTTGGGAGTCGGATTCCGGTAGCTTTAGTATTATGAAGGACCCACGTGGCAATACTCTAAAGCGTGGGACACAGATTACCTTACATATGAAAGAAGAAGCTAACGATTTTCTGGAGCCCGATACTTTGAAGAACCTTGTGGAAAAATACTCTCAATTTATCAATTTCAACATTTACTTGTGGCAGTCTAAGACTGAAACTGTCGATGAGCCAGTCGAACAGGAAGTCGTGAAAACTGGAGAGGATGGTGCTGTTGAAGAAGAAAAGGAAGATAAGAAAACAAAAAAGGTTGAGAAAACAACCTGGGATTGGGAACGCGTGAATAACATGAAACCTATTTGGATGCGAAAGCCCAGCCAAGTCGAGCCAGAGGAGTATGACGAATTCTACAAAAGTATTACGAAAGATATCGAAAAACCCTTGGCACATGTTCATTTTACTGCAGAAGGGGAGGTGTCGTTCAAATCGATTCTGTATGTGCCAAAGCGGTCACCGAATGACATGTTCCAAAACTACGGGAAGGTTATTGAGAACATCAAGCTATATGTGCGGCGAGTATTCATTACAGATGATTTCGCCGACATGTTACCGAAGTATCTTGCGTTTATCCGTGGTATTGTTGACTCAGACGATCTCCCACTTAATGTTTCTCGCGAGAATCTGCAACAGCATAAGCTACTAAAGGTAATCAAGAAGAAACTAGTACGCAAGGTATTGGATATGCTTAAGAAATTAGAAGGGACGCAGTTTGATGAGTTCTGGAGTGAGTTTAGTACAAATATTAAACTTGGAGTGATGGAAGATCCAAGTAACCGCATCAGGCTTGCTAAGCTCCTGAGGTAAGCTCAGTGATAGAATGTTTTTCAATACAGCTTTACCATATCTGTGTATGTAATTACAGGTTTGCATCTTCTGCGGATAAGGAGAAACTCACATCTCTGACAGATTACGTACAACGTATGAAGGAGAAACAAACTAAGATTTATTACATGGCTGGGACTTCACGAAAAGAAGTGGAGAGCTCACCCTTCGTTGAGCGCCTTATCGCCAAAGGATATGAGGTAACTACCCTAGAAGCTTGGTACCCAATTACTTCTTTTATATTGGTAGATAAGTCACTTTCATTTGAACTACGACTACTGATTGTTAGTTGTATGCTATCTAAGCACAGTTAATTTAGGTTTTGTACCTTACTGAGGCTGTAGATGAGTATTGTGTGCAGGCGATGCCAGAGTTTGAAGGAAAGAAATTCCAAAATGTTGCAAAGGTACGTGTGTGTAATGTATTTGAGTGATTAGATTATTGATATCGCATATCACTAAAGATATCTCATCCTTGTTTAATCTTAATAGAAGTTAACTTCGCAGGAAGGAGTGAGCATCGACGACTCCGAAACGGCGAAGGAAGCGTTCCAAGCTCTTGAGAAAGAATTTGAACCTCTAACAACATGGCTCAAAGAGACTGGTCTCAAGGTTCCTTCTCGAATAAACATTATAAACTCCAATATTAGAAAGCATATCGCCTTATGTACATTACGTTTGCAGTTCCTAAGATTGAGAATACCACTTTGTTACTTTATAGGGTCTAATTGAAAAGGCTGTTGTATCACAGCGACTTGTAAAATCTCCATCTGCTCTAGTAGCCTCGATCTATGGTTGGTCAGGGAATATGGAGCGCATTATGAAGAGTCAGGCCTATGCGAAGTCCAAGGATCCTACTCAAGATTTCTATGCGAACCAAAAGAAGACGTTCGAGATAAATCCTCGACACCCAGTTGTGAAGGAATTGATGCGGCGAGTCATTGCTGACAAAGAGGACCAAAAAGCAAAGGATACAGCTCTCCTTTTGTTCGAAACTGCTACGCTTCGATCAGGATATTCGCTACAGGATCAGGTGGGTGTTTTACAATTGATTACCACCGATTTTTATGTATATGCATACACATATATATATGTGTATATACATCATACATGTATATATGTATATATGTATATATATATATATTTATATAGTTCCCAGGATCAACTTTCTTTTAACCTCGGCATTGAAATATGAATGCGTCGTTTTCTTCTTCAGCAATCGCGAGGTTTTTAAACAGCATACATTTACTTCCATAGAAAAACACAATACAATACAACACTAGCTGACGTCTCGGCAGTATCGCCTTCTTCAGGACCGCTTTTTAGGTGACTTCCAATGAGGAAGTTTAGAACAACTGATTATAATCGCATATGGTTGATGACTCATCATTTGTATTGTGTTTTTCTATGGAAGTAAATATGGAATGTATGCTGTTTAAAGACCTCGCGACTGCTGAACAAGAAAACGACGCGTTCATAAATATATGTATATAATATCATGGTGAAGACGTACAAGAGAACCTCTTAGGTTGGATTTGCGGAACGTATCGAATCTGTTCTTCGGCAATCTCTTGATGTGGATCCTGACGCGGAGATTGAAGCAGAACCAGTCATTGAAGACACAGAAGATTCCAAAGATACCTCCACTGAGGAAGGAACCCAAGTAGAAGAGGAACACTCCGAGCTCTAGATAACTACCGTTTGCGTTATACCCTTGGCACTAGCTTATAGTTGTTATTACTAGGCTGTGTCATGTTGTGATTAAGAGACTGTGTCCCGTATGCCCACGTCGTTTCAGTGATACGGTTTTCTATTTGTTGTTTTTTTTTATTTGTTATTGTCCTAATGTACGTTGATCTAATTTAAATAATTGTGACCAGTTGTTCTCGAATTCCTTCTAAAAATCCTATAAATTTTGACAAGTACCACATGGATACTTACTTGGACCGCCCATCCTCACTGGTTGTGCACACAGTATACTCCATTTTTCCAGGTTTTGCTGGCCTAGTCACTGTGGTACCCTGGGGTTCCGAGGCCAGCCTTGCTAGTCTGTCACATGTCGTCACCACCACTACAGGTGATCGCAGTCCTTATGGATCCAATGGAAATCTGCCACGTGACTAATTTGATAACAGGACGGTGGTGGATCTTGATATTGATTTACTGCTAGCTGGGATTCCTGATGGGAACCCGGACTCTTTCTCAGTTTGGGGGCCCAGCCGGGGATTCATCCCCGGCTGTACATCGCAGTCCGACACCCAGGAACAGCTCCCAGCCACGATGAGGCGGTAAACCGTTAGGAGAGGACACCATGGATAGTCATGCCGAATACCACTTTACCATTGGTAGCTTCTTGGAACATTATCGGTTTTGCTGGGAGTGTGACTTTAGCAAAGAACATTTGTTGCTGCGACGACGTTACGTACAAAGTCCAATTTTATGCTTCATCCAAAGAGGATCTATTTACAAATCTCGTGTATATCAAATGTATTTTCGCAGTCAAGGATGCGCTTCCCGTTTTTCTACAAGTTCAAAGGACTCAAAATATCCATATAAAGTCGTAGTACACAAAAGATAGGTAGTTTTACCAGAACGGTAGGAAGAAAAATGACTTTAGTCATCCAATATTAAACCACATGACGGATCTAAATGAAAAGCTGATTGACACATCGTGCGAATAAAGAGGGATTCTCAGCTGCTAACAGTTCCATGAAATTCGGAACCTGTAAAAAGTAAGCCTTCGTCTTGCGAAATTATTCTGGAATTGTACTATGTTGTTACGCACGGTATCCATAATCAGCATAATCATCTCCAATGTTGGACAGTTTGGTGCGCAGCTTGTATCAGTACATCCAATCAGATGTGAAGACGAATCCTTACTCTGGAAAAGTGCGGCGAATAAATTAGCGGGACTTGTCACCTAGTTTCAAAAACTGAATTACCCCATTGAGCCCCATACGTTTCATTGCTTCCTGTGTCGCAAGATCCCATCCCGCGTCGGATATGTTTCCCAGATTTGGGACCGCAATAGAAGATTCTTCAACCTCCTGGGGAAATGTTGAACGTAGAAATGAATGCTGTGCTACTTCTTTTATTTCTTTGAAGTACGCAGTTTTTATAATAGGAAATAAGATGGTCATTTGCTAAAAATGAAATATGTATAAATTAAGTATGGAAAAAAACTAGAACCGAAATAGTTGGCGACGCTGGATGCAATCCACATGTGTCTCCCTGTCCGAAACTTTCGTCGAGTAGATCGACCTTGAAATACATGAACAGTATTGAGAATTCCTAATAATAAACTTCCTAACAAAACGAAATATGAGAAAAAAAATTTGTGGACCTCATTTGGCTCTTGATCTCCTACGGAGACAACAACGAAAGGAGCTCGAGCACGGCGTGCTGCTTGCTTGGTGTCCGGAAGAGATCGAATCACCCATACTAGCGCACTAGATAAGACAAATTCTCAAAACCTAACAAAAGAAACAGCAAATCAAAGTACAATGACGTGACTGTTAACCACATCTGCAGGTCCACAAATCATACTTGATACCGACCTGGAATTCCCTTTTGTAAGTGAAGTATGCGTTCCCACATCAATCAATCCAAATAAGTGATGTTCGAGGAAGCAATCGAAAGCGACCGATCTAGCTACGGAAATCCGAAAAGCTCTCTTAATGTCTTATATGAAGAACAACAACCAATATAGTCTTTCTTGTACAATAACTACAACTTAGAACATAAATAATAAGACTGAAATACACGCGCAAATTGCCACTTTCTTTTCCGACTACATGGCTTACTCTAGCACATTAAGTTGCGGTGTACTCTTGAAAAATTCACTTTGCAGAACCCAATAAAGTTTTCGAAAGAGCACTTTTAATGAAAGAGTCATATAATATATCTCCTAACAAGCATGGAACATTGGCAAAGTGGGTAAAAGCGCGAAGTTGACTAGTACAGGAAAACCCCATTGTCATGTGTAAGAGTGCTTCCTAATAATACCGCATAGATCTGGTAACTTCCCATGTTGAAATATAAACATATCGGTAAGTCGCAAAATTATTCAATTTTGAACCTAAGTAGATAAAGTCTCCAGAGACTTTCTAGCCAAGATCTCTTTTTCTTCAGAACTAGTACTAGAACAGTCTATAAATTTTTACCGTTGAATTAGTTGTTTCACCACAGCTTTTGTCACCTATTTCCCAATATTAAGCTACGACAAAAACTGGGTTCATAGAACCTATAAAATCATCACTATTACCACCAAAACGGAGGGTTCAAAAGCAAGGTTGCTCACGGCTAAGGAATTCGTCGGAACTCACGAATTGTAAAGCAAGGAACAGGATAACAGACTGAATGGGTTCATCATAACAGCTAATTCACGGTTAATATGGGTAACTTTGAAGTAACAAGGGACGGATAGCACAATAATAGTGCTGCCGACCATCAGGAGTATGGTGCTAATTCGACTCCGCCACAGGTCCACCAAGCCCATCTTCGCTCTTGGGTCGGGAAATTGGTAGCGGACTTGTCCGGAAAAAAATCGCTCTGTGCAACCCGATTGGAAACGCTACGGCCTCGCAATCTCAGAATCTCAGAGTCGACTTGAACAGCATTCTATCATTTTCAAAATGAAATGGAAAATCCCCAAGTAGCAGCAGAAAGCATATGTAAAAGGTTGGAAGACCTTCGTGGATGACGGATGCCAAGAAACTAATCGAATATCCAATGTAAAAAGTGCTGGGATCCGCAAAGTAGACATGAAGTTGGATCATATAAAATAAATAAAATAAAGAACTTTATAATAAGTAACAATCTGATAGACCCTATTCTTGATTCGAACATAACTCTTCTAGCGAAAACCATAAAATTGGTATCACTATCCGTTGGTGTTTGCCTGCGTTGATTTCACCCGTATTCGTCACAGGACTGGATCCACTCACGAATACGTAAATTTTCCAAAGAAAAGAGAAAAATCTGCAGATTTTATATCACTCTGACCTGGTTTTTATAAGACGCCACTCTAAACGACCACGACCGGGAATGTGGACGGCACAATCTTCACGATACCACTAAGTTACCACTAGTTTGGAAATGAAATAATCACTGGAGTGTCGACACTATGAGACGTAAGGTACTACAGAGTTACGCCCTACAGTTCTTTGATAATAACACTTACAACGTGCTCAATTATGGTATTGTTCCTAAGACTGACTTCCTATTAACCTCGGCACTAATTGACAATTAGTTTTTCTTCAATAAGCAGACACGAGGTTGGTATTACAGAATTTGTTAGAATACAATAGCTGTTTCTTATGCGAATTCAACGCAAGAACGCTAAACAAGCACATGAGACAAATCAAAGATTTCTAATTCGACCAAAATCGAAGTTTAGCCTTGATGGAAGAGGTGTCTCTTTGGTAGTCAGGAAGTACTGTAAGTGCAATCTACTAAATGTGTTCTACCCATTAAGTGCATTATCCATTTGACAGAAGAAGCTCGATGCTCAAATATGCATGCATAGCGTTTGGATTACATTTAATATCGTCTGCACAAACAGTACAACTGGGACACGATTACAACAAATAACGAACATTGGTGGCTTTTCGAAAATGTATGATCGCTTTCCGATAGATAGAGAGCTTTACGGGTTTATTACATGACATAGGTTTTGCTTTATCCATGTGGTTTAAAGGATAAAGGATAAAGCTCTCGGCTTTGATCAATCCCTGAGGGGTGCGGCACGCATTTGACTTCATTAAGCATCCTTGGAGGTGATTGCATGCATATCTGGTCTTTACAATGACTCGCCGTGGCCTACTGTTGTATCGACACTGTGCAGTGCTGGGATAGCCGAATTAGAGCGATGCTACTTGGATTTCAGGGAGTGAAATGTTCGCAAACAAATCTGATACCAATTTTCCGATCCCGAAGAGACGGAGGGCTTGGTGGTTCCCTAGGCGCTGGGATCGACCCCATGTGTATTGCGGGGCGCCTCCGACCACTGCGCCACACGCTCGCACTATATGGTTTAATCAGACTTAATGTTAACAACATCCTTCAGTTTCGCTTTATTGGCAATCAGTACCTGAGTAAAAACATAACAAAGATATCACACTTTACTTTTTATAATCTGCCTACTACAATTTTTACTGTAGAGTATTTAGCGAAATACAACCAGCACGTCGCTGAGATATTTGCAAAACTCTGGATCGCAGGTGTCTGCGGTAGGAAACGAACGTGCTATTACTATTTCCGCTGGCTACCGCTTTCACCACTATAACATGCGAGTCTTTCGTTTCTCCTGTATCTCTCCTAGTTCAATCGATCAGTGCCATCAACAATCACCCACGTTAGTCCCTGTATCATCTGTATCACCTGTAGTCCTGTTGATCGTCGAGTGACTCGAGCGAGCGCCAGTAAATCTTCCATTTTTCCCTGTCGCGTGCAAGAGTAGCCCAGTGGGTTCTGCTCGCTCTAGGGACTCGTCGAGCATCATATCCTTCTTCAAGGCTCTTTGTTAAGAACTCTGACCATCGGGGCGGTGGTCTTCGTGCACTACGTTTGACATCCCAAGGAATCCAGTCACTAACGGCCCTTGTACAACGGTTGCCATTCATACGCATTACGTGTCCGGCCCACCTTATCTTCGACTGTTTGGCGTACAGAACGGCATCTTTGATTTTTGATCGTTGATGCAGGCCGGAGCTTCGTATCCCGTCCTTTGCTTGTGTGGAATGGGATACTCCTAGAATCGTCCTTTCGACTGCGCATTCAATAACGCAGAGTGATCTTCATCCTGCTTACGCAGCGACCAGGTTTCTGAGGCATACGTTAGGGCAGGAAGTAACGCTGGGGCACGGAGTCGGGTGTTCTTTGTTCTCTTCACTACATCCTCGATGCTCTTAAGAGCTCCCCAAGCCGCTCGTTTCCTTCTGCTCAGCTCTCGAGATAAGCCGTTCATCATATTGTTTTCCCGACCTAGATAGATATAATTGGAGCATTCGGAGATATTCGTCCCTTTGAGCGTAAATGGGGCATGCGAAACGAATCCGTTCATTATGAACATTATTTTTGTGAGATTTAGTCGAAGACCAATCTTTCCACAGGCTTTATCAAAGTCGTCGAGCATACGTTCCGCTTGGCTAATGTTTGGTATTGTAAGGACGATGTCATCAGCAAAGCGAAGACGATGTAACTGCCGACCATCGATTTTCACTCCCATATTATCCTATTCCAATGTTTGCATGACTTCCTGGAGGGTGACGGTAAATAATTTCGGCGAGATGGTATCTACATATATATAGTGTCGCCTTGCCTAACTCCTCTTTTGACGTCGATGTTAACGCAGTCTATCTGATCTCTTGTAAAGCGTGCGGGGACGAATACGTTGGCGAAACAGGTAGACCGCTCTGCGTCCGCATAAAAGAACACTTAGTCGGTAAATCTAAATTAAAACCAAACACTACGCTAGGCGCACATAGGATGCAGGAACACAACGGAAAGATTTTGAAGGAGGAGTCACTATTCTCACGCAGGAATTGAAAACATCAGCGCGTAAAACTCTTGAAGCGTTTTGGATCAATTCCAAAAACTCAAAAATGAACCGCAAGGAGGAGTGTCCTGTCATCACTCGTGACCCGGCGCCATACCTCAGGCTAATCCAATGACCTGACACAGACACAGTTATCGCCCATGTATTGTGCGGCTGCTATCTATCAACTAACTTGAATACTTACGACAAATAAATGGTAGGTGTTTAAATGAAGCTGTTTCTTATGCGAACGCAAATTGTTTGGCTGGGTAGATAGCGTCTCAATTTGACCTTTCCAGGCTCTGAAGAATACGAAACCGCCGAAACGTGAACTATTGTATCCTAATAAACTCTATGACAACCCCGTGTCTGCTTATTGAAGAAAAGCATCGAATTATGGTATTGCTGTTAACTCAACTCTTTGATAACTACTCCCGCCTTCCCAGAATAGACAATGAACTGTTGGACGCGCCCCATGACTTGCTTGGTGACTTGCTCGCACCCGATATATAGAACACAATGCGCATACATGCTATTACCAAACGCATATACGAATGCGCGAATTTGTCTAGTTACATATAAAGGCAATCTGGAAAACAGAATGACCATCGATCTCTTGGATCCTCATGCGAATCTGAAGTACAAGATCGCATCCAGGCCACATTTAACTTCTGGACCGCCTACTGGAGACTCTCCGTAGCTTCGCAATTAGATAGCTGAGGACCTTTTCTTCAAGTGAGATTAGGAATTATTTTCCAATGACATCGAAAATGGTAGACCTATGGAAGGCCCGTGAAAAGATCAGGTCTTCGTCGTACAAAATTCTGACAGTGTTCGCATTTACTAGTTCCAGATGTATTAAAATCAATTACGCATCCAAATACACAGCTGCGATGTAAACTATTATCGCATTCATGAACATGTATACATTTATACAAAAGGTATATATCAATCCGGGAGCCAGTATAGACAGGGAGTCAATTCTCTACAATAGCTTAGGGTCATATTTCTGCGAAATTTAGGTTTTACAGCTACAAATCTTACCGGTATCGTATCATTGGATAAAACGCCGCACTTGGGCGTACGCCTAAAATTGAGCGCTTAAACAAATAAGAAAAACATTCTAGTTTCGATCCCTCGTCTTAACCTTAACTCATTCTCAAACCATGGTGAGTACTGTCTACATAGCGATCAAATAAGAAAATGAAATCAAAATAAAAATCAAACCTGACGATAATGAGGTGCATCAGATAGCAGCCGTTTCTCCACAGAAACAATCTCTTCATTTTTTGATAAGAAATGAATTTCAGTTACTGTGAATTTCTGTAATGATATAATACAACAGAAAAAGGAAACGCCCTTACACCGACTGCCTCACATTTATTATTTTTAAATGCATATTTTAATCAAGAAGTGATACCTTAACGTCATATCGATAACGAGCTGAGAACTTTATGAGCTTGCCTGGGGAAACATTTTGGCATAATTTTTCGGGAACGCTTAAATGTAAGTTTATACACATGCATATATTTATATACATATAGGTACACATTTAGACATACACCCATGTGTATAATATACGCATATATATATTCATATGTAGATATAAATGCAACAAACAGATAAATATATATATATATATGCATACATACAAATGTGAAGAACAATGAACTAACTGGAAAAAAATATCTCCATGAGCTCTGGAATAGACGGTCGAAATATCCAAAACGACTCCATCGACATATTCCACCGCGATCTTCAAAGAAATATTCTTTAAATGCTGTAATGAGTAGGATCTTTGACACCATAAAACCTTAACAGTACTTTAGAAAAAACACAGCCTAACACCCTACAACAACACTTTTAACAAATTAACGATAGCGCTAGTTCTCCACAAAAGGATAAAAAGATAAAACTTTCGCTGTTGATCAATCCCTCAAGGATGCGCCATGCATTCGACTTTGTTAAGCATCGTTGGGTGTAATTGAATGTATATCTGGCCTTCACAATGACCCACGGTGGGCTACCGATATCGGAAGCATGGAAGGTTGGTGAGCCTGGCGCGCCTGGACCGATCCCAAGTGTACTGCAAGGTGCCTCCAACCATTGCGCTACATGCGCCCTTATACGTAGATATTTACACGAATACAGACATAAATATGCACATAGACAACTCAGGAAACAAAATATGTTGTGATATTCCGGAAATACGCGAATGTACGGCCATACGCGCCCCAGTTTCCCATAGCTGCTGGTAATTTTTCGGTGACAAAAATACGTGTAATGTTGATAATTGCAAAGAAGTAGAGCAGACTTTAGCATAACACTCCAAGTGTGTATAAAGTTGCTCGAAATTTTTGTTTTTGTAACAAATTTGTCTGAGACTCGAGTGTTCAACAAACCAATTTAAGTCGAAACATAAATTTTAAGAACTTTATCTTGGAAGGCGAAATTCTACTAAATCGATTGGTTCGTTACTCAAACAATGAACTCCGATAGAATGAAAATTCCAAAAAAAGAAGTTTTCAGAAAATTTTGTTCGCCGCATTACGATAAGAAATCTCAGCAACTGTTGATTGAGATTTGTACATTCGAATTGTTTCAATTGCAACTGATCGATTTGAGATCTATTCGCTTAGAGCTGAAAGCTGAGATAGTGTTGGCTATGTATGCGCCACCCTCCTCCAAGGGACCTCACCGTGGCTGGGAGGTGTTCCTGGGTGCCAGACTGCCATATACACTAGGAGCATTTATACCCACGACAGTGCCTCGCAAGCTGAGTCCGGTGTTCCCACCAAGAAGCCCAGCCAAGGGCAAACCAATACCAGGATCCACCACCTTCCTGGAATCACACGAGTCGCATGGTGGCAAAATTTCCCTCCAATCCACATGGGCGGTGACTGTCTATGGTGGTGGCGACCTGGAGCAGACTTTGGCCAGCCCGACTTCGGGACTCCAGCGAAACAATGGTTAAACCAGCAACACTCCGAAAGAGTGGAAATTATGCTGGGGAATGCGCAAACAGTGAAGACAGATCATCCGGTTATCCAAGTATGTATCGGTCATATATAGCTTGATGGTGACAAACATAAATACTGCAGTTTTACATTCCTCTTCTATTGACGACTAAGAGGAGGAAAGACGACAATAAAACTAATATGAATAGAAAACAACAATCCAAATTTTGTAGTATTGAAAATGGAGTGTTACAAGAATAGTGCTAACCTGAACACGTTAACCACAATCAATAACCTGGTTTAGTGGTAAATTTACACAACGCTGCTATCAAAATCTTTTAATATGGCTAACGTTCCTCCATTATAGACTTGTTCATAGCCGCAATGATTCAAGTCAAGTACAATGCGACTGGGCATCTTACATTATCTGGGGTATCGCTACATGAACTGACTTCATTCCATCCTGAGAATCGTCCTATATAAAAGGGAACTGCTGGGTGAGCCCAATTCATTGGTGCGGTGCTCCACTGCACTCGGTCGGACCCGAATTACCACGGTTCTGAAGAATATGGTGAAGCCAAAACACTAGCTACAATAAAGTTCTATATCTTCCCTTTATAAACTTATTAGTAAACCAAGACATCCATTATTTATACCGACATTAGCAGCATTCCGCATCTCAGAAACTATACCGAGACCTTGCAACGTGCCCAGAGAATAGGAGATTTACAAATACAGCGAGGTTTGAGGAATAATGTAATACAGCGAGGATATGGAACAATAAAAACGTGCTTTTTAACCACACTACCTCTGCGTTTTCAAGCCATTTCTGCAGTTTTGGCGCCTTATCAGCTTGAACATCAACTATACGGAACCGAAATTTAGACTTCGACGGTTTGTCCTCTAGTGTTACCTGAGATCTTTCATCCATTTAAAATAGTGAATCTATATATAGCACAGCACTACTATGAAAGCTATGATTACCACAACAGAGCTGTTTTTGTATTCCGAAAGATGGAAAAGGGCAAGAATTCCTCTGGGATCATCTATTAGTCCAAAATTAACACTTCTGTACACACCAGGATAGTCTTCATCAGCTTTTACCGCTGTTCGTAGCTGTAAAATAGTTGCTAAGAATCCTAAGAAAAGGTGTCGAATTGATAGATCTCTTCATAGACAAACGCACCAAGTTATTTGCACCAAGCTGAGTCTTCAAGCCCTTAGCTTTGTAATCAGTTACGATGAACTTTTTCTCATACTGATTCCACACTGCAGAAAACTCACAGCTAATTCCTAAAGGATAGAAATATTACAAACATTTCTTCTTCCACTACTAAAGATGCTGGTAAACGACGACGTTGGACCAAATTTTCCAGTTCATAGATCAAATTAAGCAAAAAAGCACGTATATTACTAAAGCATGATCTGCATGAACTCGAGGTGGAACGAAACCTGGTGTAAGAGGTACGCTGTCTTTGGAATGTTTGATCAGAGCAATAACAATTTCGTATGCAAATAACTCCTTGCAGAATATCAATCTGTCCCCAGTGTACACTCCCACACGGTTAACTAGTTCCTGCAACAATGAAGCAGCAAAATCATGATCGACAAACAGATTTGTCATATGATACATACACTATGCACTAAATCATATTAGATGCGAAGAATGACAAAAAATACCGGTTGCCATTTAGTTACACGTGAGTATGATTCCGGTAATAAAATCTGATCCACTATTCCATCACTATTCAGTGGAATCTCCAAAATTGTGTACTTCGAATTATTGCGATTCCACGGCTGAACACTTACTATTCGATCTAATCATTCAACAAAAACCTACTAAAGAAAAGCAGTTTGTGACTGAATGATAAACTACACTAACTGTTTGAACCGCCATGTCGGCACACTCAGTATAAACCTGATGGAATGAGTCGAACTCAATGCACAATCTGCCTTTCGTATCGAGAGCCAAAGTCAACCAAGCAGAAACTGGGATATTAGGAAGGATATACTGCGATGATATTTCATCTGAAATACGATATACACGTAATACGTCACGAATGTTTATACACTTGGGAAGCGGCGTTTTCAACAACAAAGGCTAGAGTATGTGGTTAAGTGAGCAGGAAGCATATGGGATGGGTGATAGTAGACACAACCAATAAGAACCTCGTCTACGATAGCAAGTCACCCGCGAGAAAAAACCGTTCATCAACAGCTGCTTGTGATAATCGGTGATATGGTCGAAAAAATGTGGTCCATTACAGGCCTTAACCTTCCGCCGGATAAACTTCATCACCCATGTCCCAACATAAAAGGTCGAAATCTTCATTGACTTGGAGGAGTTCTATGGAGAATTCGATACCTTACAAAATATCATCACTGCCGACTTGAACGCCAACACCAGACTCAGCAGAACGTCTTAAAAACTTTAGATCAAACCAGACTGGAATGGAGTGAACAGGGATAAATAAAAAGCGCGTCCAGGTTTAGCATGATGACCAAGCGTCTTCATAACGCAGGATTAGGCCATCGTCTAAGCGATGCAACTATTAGCAACTAAGATCTTCACAACCATGCTAAAAAGCCAAGAAAGTCACCAAGAATCGCTTGCCTTAATAATGTGTCGAGCTGATACGACTTTGGGCAATAAAAGAAAATCAAAAGAAACCGCAATGTTCATCAAGACTTCGCCTGTTACACGAGCAATATGACCACAACCACAGATAAAACAACGCTTCCAGAAAGACAGTGAGGGCGTCTTGCGACAAACCAGGTGAGTACTGATGAAAATGTCGACCATCAATGGCCCATTATGAAGTTCTACACGCTATCTCGTCGGTGATGAGCCGTACAGTACAGATAAGGATATTTTAGACACAAACGTCAGAGAAACCTACCGCTTGTCTTGATGAATAAACTCCTTTGAATTTCCACATGGTACCAAAGCAGTTCAAAGCGCAAATCAATGAAAAAACAGCAGGATCCAGCAGGACAATGTTGTTGCATAAAAACGAAACCTACAAGCATCGGGAACTACTGCCGAATCTGCATACTTCTGTTCCACAGAAATTTTTTGCTCAAGTAACTCTGAAACGAACGGAAAGAACATTTGATGAAGAAAAGCTAACTAGCAGTTCCGAAAGCGTTCAGCACAAAAAGCCATACTCATGCGATAACGAAGCACTGGGTTACCACGAGACTATAACAGACTTCCTTGTTTCACTCTCTCGATTTAAGAAAAGCATTCGAATCAGTTAAGACAGCATAAGTCATGGAAATTTCCTTAAGAGGATGGTTTCCGTGAAAGGCGAGTTTGTTTTTGCTACTCCATTCACAACCAACAATATCAATATCTCCGAATCCTCCGCTTACCAGTATACGGATCAAGACATCAACAAGATGAACAGCTTAGCCCTAGAGCTGTGCAAGAGGAAAGCACCGGTTTTTAAAGCTTACACGGATATCGATATATTGGAAGGATGAAGAATACCAAACTTCATACCCACCTTTTAGACTAAAAAAATTACAGCAATCGAGTATTGCTTAGAAGCATAGGTATTTTGTCCGATAAGTTGTCAAACCCTCAGTAGGAAAGCCACTGATTCAAATGCAAGATTTCACGAAGATTGTATGGGAAAAATATGACACTCTTCGATTCCACCAAAAGAGTAGAATCCGCGAAACGAGTTCTGCATACAATAGGGACAAATGAAGACCTTCTTAGCGCTCACTTAAGTATTTCGAGGATCAATAGGAGAACAGGAAGCGCGTACAATATATTCAAAAACTACAAATACATTTATTTACAAGCAATATGCAGCCGTATATCATGTCCTGCAGTTTCTGAAAACTATTTACTTATCCAGGGAAATCCAAAACTTTGAGCTTTAAGCTTTCCTTTCTATATGTGCATAAATCTAAGGTGGAAACAAAAGCTTCGAGAAAATAACCAGTTGACCTAAATGAATATTTGGAAAATATTGACACCAAAACTGAAGTCTGTCGATCGGAGAAACTACTCCATGGACGAGGATCTGAAAGTTGCACAACATAGATAATATAATAAAATGAAGCAGAGTAATATAATAAAGTAGAGAGTTACAGAATTATAACTATGCTTAAACTTGTTTAAAAGAAAGCTTAGCTACAGCCCAGAAATTAAGATTCTAAGTTAGCAAAAACAAGAAAAATGACAAAAAAAAAACGGAAATGTTAGAACAAGCCTGAGATTTTCCATTATGTACGCGCGTCTCAAATAAAGCTGCACCCCTTCGTATCCTTGAAATTACTCTGTTGATCACATCTTTATCCTCCCAATGAACTGTATCACCAAATGATAGAGGTCGTTCTGCTCTACGCCTAAACAAACCAACTTCAAAACGAGAAATATGCACGAGTAACTATCGCAAAAATCCTGCTTACTTCTGATTCTTTACAGTCGCTTCACTCAGGCATTTATTTGGTTCAAATCGGAATGCAGAATGTCCAACTCTGGCAAGAGCATAAGTGAACTCATTCTGTAAACAAGCAATAACGTGAGTAAAAAGACACATAAAACGATAAAGGATAAAGTTCTCAGCGTTGGTCAATTCCTTAGGGACGCGCCATGCATTCGACTACATTAAGCAAGCAAGTATCGTTGGGGGTGATTGAATACGCACATCTGGCCTTCACAATGACTCGCGGTGGCCTACCGATGTATTGAGCCAGTGCTGCCATCCTCCCATACAAGTATGGTACTAATTCGACGACCCCGGAAGTTTAGGTGGGCCATGGGCGCCGTGGCTGATCCCATGTAGGTGTTGCAGGGCACCTCCGTCCACTGCGCCATACGCACCCTTACGTATACGGTTATCAACATATCTTTCCTTGACAAGCTTACACGATGTTGACAAATAATTTTTTTATACGGCTAACGTTTCGACGTCTTCGCCTTCTGTGAAGAACAACTGCGGACCATCGACTTCGACCATCGGCTCTGATGAAGACGAAGACGTCGAAACACTAGCAGAATAAAGAAATTATTTATCAACCTCGTGTAAACCTACCAAAGAAAGATTACATATTGACTCGTCTAAACGAGGTTAAAGGAAAGGCGACTTTAAAAATACAGTTATCACTACTTGTCAGGTGACGAGCCATCGGTTAAGAAGCGACCAAACCTCAAGTGGCATAGGTGGTCATTGAATACCGGATCAAAACGTCCTCAAAACTACCATAAACTACCACGTATCAACATGTACAGACTAGCTACGTAAAACCTTTTACAAAGCAGAACATACTGCAAAACGAAAACACCTAGAAATTTATTGTAGGATAGGAAACTTCGACTCAATTAAGAAAAGCTCATTGAAGAGGATACACATGGGAGAACGGAATAGAACACCCAAATGGGAACGAAGACCGTTCTAGTAGACCCATCTCATTAGAGTACTATTTCCATAGAGATTCGTTCCCAAAGAGAAAAAAGCCGCTGGAGAATTCACGGATCTCCCTCACATGAGTGACTTCGAGCCGGTTAGTCGCGAGACAACATCGCGCGTCCACAGATGGCGGATAGGGGGTTAATCGCGGACCAAAAGCGACCTTTGCTTCCCTGAGACGCAAGTGGAACCAGGGGATGGACTCCCTGTTTCTGCTGCGCTGATTTGGCAGATACTTTCTGTATTTGCTAGGCGTATTCATGCATGCGTGTGCGGGTGCGTTCTTGCTTAAGCGGATTGTACCAATTCAGTATTCAATTCATATCAGTATTCATGTCGGCCGAGTCAATTCGGCCGAAAGCTTGCAATGAAGTGACTGGGCAGTATATGGGAGGCGGTTAGGAGTCGCGTACAACAAATAAGCTCTATGTCCACTCTGGGAGAGCCTGGCAAACTACCCGTGAAAACACCCAGCCCAGAAGTTTAGAGCCCAGCAAGCTATACGTGGGTATCAAAAAAGTTAAACACAGTAAAAAAAAAAACGGGACTCAATCCGCTGACCCCGAAAGGGCTCCAATTTCGTAGCGTTGGGTAGGACGAGTACGGAGAGGCTGCTAAAATCTCAGGGCCAATTGAAGCTGTCTGGATTTCAAAGAACTATGGTGACCATCTGTACCTACAATGCACGCACACTTGCATCCGAGTCCTCGATAGAAGATTTGCTCATGGAAGTAAGAATGATAAAGTACGACGTCATCGGCCTAAACGAGACGAGAAGACGCCAGCCTTTCAACGCCGTCTATGACACCGGAGAAGAACTGTTCCTCGGAACACGCGACAGTAGAGGAGTCGGGGCGTTGGCGTTCTCGTCAACACGAGTTTGTCCATGAACATCGATTCATTCGAACAGCTTAAAACCCGAATCAGACGTTTACGATTAAAAAGATGTGGATCAATTCCGGCTTCGACAACCTTCGTTGTTTACGCGCCGACATCAAACTATGACGAAGAAGAAGTCGAAGCGTTCTATATGGAGTTGGAGAAGTTCTGCAGAGAACACCATACATTCTTCAACGTCACCATTGGAGATCTCAACGCCAAGATTGGACCAAGAAGAACGTCTGAGGAACATCGCATTAGGACCCACGGATTAGAATGGAACGAACAGGGTGAGCGGCTATCTGAGTTTATCATGGCGACCAAGACAATCCATGGTAACTCGCAGTTCCAGAAGCCCACCCTCAGCGCTGGACGTGGGAGCCTCCTAATGGAGAGTACCATCACGAAATAGACCACATCATAGTAAATAGAAGGTTTTGCCTAACCGATGTCACTGTTGTCTCAAAATTTCATAAGGGATGAGACTACCGTCTCCTTCGTGCAAGATTCTATTCCTCGCGGAAAGGAAAAAAGCCGCTAAATTCAAAAACCAAAGTCCTAGAACCACCACAAACTGGGACTTATTCAATTCATTAGTCGGCTGTTGCGAAGATGCCGTTGTCGATAACATCGACGAAGAATACGATCGGCTCATTCAACGCCTTCACGTTAGCACTATGAATGTTCAGAGTTCGAAAGTCATCAAGAGATGTCTGTCTCCACAAACACTCGAGCTGATACGCCAGCGTAGAATCGCACGAGCTGCGTGCAACCGCAAACTAACGTCCGAACTTGTAAAACAATGCAGACAGGCGCTAAAAGAAGATCTTAAAGAGAGAAGAGCAGAAGTAATGATCGAAGCTGTAGAGGCTGGGAAAAGCATTCGAAAAGCCTGCCGATGCTTCGCCAATTACAAGACCAAAATAATTGCACTCCGGCGCCCAGACGAAGCAGTTACATCGTCCAAAAGGCAGTGGAGAAAATTATTCACGAATACTACTCAGATCTCTATCGATAGCCACGTCCACATCCCATCATACAAAATAAATCAGAATGGATATGTTGTACTACCGGTTCTTCTTTCCGAAATCTGACATGCCATTTCGTCGGTGAAAAATCGAACAGCACCAGGTCCAGTCAGGATAAGACCAGAACACCTGAAGAACCTTCAGTCAGTCCTCGTAATCACACTGGCTCCGCTCTTCACACGTTACCTGTCTGAATGCAAGGTCCCTACTCAGTGGAAGGCCAGTAAGCCCGTGTTATTGTTCAAGAAGGGTGACCTGCACAATATCGGCAACTATCGCCCAGTCTGCTTGCTGCCTCTCGTCTACAAACTTTTCACTCGAGTCATCCTACATAGAATTGACAAAACACTAGATGAAGGGTAGCCATATGAGCGAGTAGGGTTTCAAAAAGGATTTAGTACGATGGACCACATCCAAACGGTAACAAGGCTCATTGAAGTATCGCGAGAGTACAAAAGACCGCTCTGTCTCACTTTCATCGATTTACGGAACGCCTTTGATTCAGCTGAGATAGAAGCAGTCATGGAAGCCCTTGATTGCCAAGGAGTCCCTACTCAGTACATAAAGATTTTTCCTGAGCCGTATAAAAATTTCACAACCAAGATATCATCATTCCACAACGATACTAACATTGACGTCAAAAGATGAGTTAGGCAAGGCGATACCATCTCGCCAAAATTATTTACCACCATCCTCCAGAACGTCATGTGAACATTGGAATAGGATAATATGGGAGTGAAAATGGACGGTCGGCAGTTACATCATCTTCGCATTGCTGATGACATCATCCTTACAATACCAAACATTAGCCAAGCGGAACGTATGCTCGACGACTTTGATAAAGCCTGTGGAAAGATTGGTCTTCGACTAAATCTCACAAAAATAATGTTCATAATGAACGGATTCGTTTCGCATGCCCCATTTACGCTCAAAGGGACGAATATCTCCGAATGCTCCAATTATATCTATCTAGGTCGGGAAAACAATATGATGAACGACCTAGCTCCAGAGCTGAGCAGAAGGAAACGAGCGGCTTGGGGAGCTCTCAAGCGCATCAAGGATGTAATGAAGAGAACAAAGAACACCCGACTCCGCGTTCAGCTTTTCGACTCAGCGGTACTTCCTGCCCTAACTTGTGTCAGAACACAGGTCGCTGCGTAAGCAGGATGAAAGATTACACAGCATTATCGAACGCGCAGTCGAAAGGACGACGCTAGGAGTATCCCGTTCCACACAAGTTAGAGATGGGATCGGAAGCTCCGATCTGCGTCAACGATCAAAAATCAAGGATGCTGTTCTGCACGCCAAACGGTCGAAGATAAGGTGGGCCGGACACGTAATGCGTATGAATAACAACCGATGGACAAGAGCCGTTAGTGATTTGTGCCTTTTGACTAAAAACTAGACCCATCCTGCAGAACCTTGCCGACTGCTGCAATAATTGTACATCGAAAAAAATAGGTTCCCATTAATTTCTTAATATTCACAAAGCAAAAAGCATCCGATAGGAGATAAAACTTCACCAAAGCTTTGTTACCACCGGATTGCTGAGAGTAATGAAGCTCTTTGAACTGGATGAAAAAGGCTATAGACATTACTGGAACATTCTTATGAAAATTTTTTTTGCTGCCACAATCGTCACGTTTCGAAGAAGGGCCAATGAATCACGTATGGTCTTCAAAAAACATCACGAAATTTAGTTGTCACAAAAATACGAATAAAAAACAGCATCAAAAAAAAAACAAAACAGTCCTTGCGAATCTATAGTGCAATGGAGACAGACAGCTCTTTGACTACGAAGACCAGAAGCTACTCAAGTTGCATACACTTGTATGATTCACCGACTATGGAAAACAAAAAAAATTTAGACAAATGAACACCGGAAACCAAAAAATTGGTCGGAAATTGGTGCAAAGAGTTTGAAAATGTACAAGAAGGAAAGCTGAGTTAACCCTAACAACACTCAAGAGTCTTCCATGACGACACCCTATGAAAGGGGCGAATATGGCCGAATTTAGAGCTGGTAAGTATTTATAGATCATGGAAAACTACTAATACACCTAAACCAAGAAAGGAAGAGACCACCGGCAGAGATAGCGACTGTGAAGGAACGAAAAATATGCGGTGTAGTACGACTCGTGAAACTATGCAGTCTAACCAGAAGGATGCTGAGATCGTGGCGAACTTGGGACCTTCTTCCGTGTTCCGAATTGTCTCTGTATCTCAGCAACCTTGTGGTTGTACTCCACCGCATACCTTTCTATCGAAAAATAAGAATAAAATAGGATAAAGCTCTCAATGTTAATCAATCAATCCCTGATGGATGCGCCATGCATTCGACTTCACTAAGCATCGTTTGGAGGTGAATGGATTCATATCTGGCCTTTACTATAACTCGCGGTGGACCCGATGTACCGAGCTAGTGCTGCTATCCTTCCAGAAAAATATAGTACCAATTTTCCGACCCCAGAGGGATTGAAGGCTTGGTGGGCCAGGGGGCGGGCATCGAACCCATGTGCATTGCAGGGCGCCTCCGAGCACCGCGCTACACACAAAAAATTAGAAAGTAAATGTAAAGTACATTGAAATGTATAAGTTTCCAAACAAGCATCCTCACGTTTTCATCGGCTATCAGCTCGAGCACATAGTTTCGAACTATCTCTTCTGAAATAAGTGTGTCCGACACTACTATGCCGAAGGGCATCTCGCATCGGTAAACAGTTGCTCCCTGGAAAAATCTCGAAATCACGCAAAGCAAACTCGAGCTAAGTAGAGTACTTGTTTCACTAGCCCATATATTCTTCTAAATATTTAAGCCTAATAACTCTACTGCCAGGAATTGGAATAACTGGACACTGTTGCGATGATTTAACAGAACAAGATCAAACAGCTATAAAAACTCCCGAGAATGTCACTGAACTGAGCAGAATTTACGACGAAAGAGAATGCTATTTATGAAACTTCTCCATAAATCACATCGTAGAGAACAGCTGCCATCGGGGTTCAGTAACCCAACCCCGATGGGTCCCGTTAACCCACGTCAACATGAAAAGTTACTACTTCTGGAACTTGTTGTAGAGGAAACCTAGTGCAGTCAAGGTGAAATAACTACCACCAAAATTCGTTCTTTTACGAACTTCACGTTTCCGAAAAACTCCAAACTTCCGATTCCTTTTGCCAACGCTAAGAAAGCGAGAGTTTACTTACATCATCATTAGTTAGAAAAACCAAATTCTCTCTGACAGTTAGCCATTTAACAACGTTCTGAACCACGTAGTCAGTGGGAATTTACAGGGCTAATATTGAAACTCGAAAATAGGAACAAATTAGAAAGCTGACATCTCGGATAATTAATTTAATACAACGAGAATGCTACTTTACAGTACGCTGTGGTGCCTTTTTTACTCAAAAATCAGTAAAAGATTTAGACAGGAAGCTACTCTCATTATCTCAACGATATACTAACGCAAATTTTATGAATGAATGACCATCCAAACAACAAAAGTGCCATCACGGTGATCTCATCACCTTGTACTCTGAGTTGAAGCTCAGCCCATAGAAGCAAGTAGATGGACAAACAAAGCTGCCACCAGCCTATTAAGCAAGCGCCAGATTTCGCAATAACAGCTGAATTCAAACAAACTTGCTGCACTGTTTCTGTGATTGCACATACTGCACCGTATTGTCGTCTTTCAAAATACATGTTGTTACTTGATTTCAGCGAGTTCTAAGCTACCGGATGTTGGTCGGTTTGATCGTTGAGCGATATGACGATGAGCTTGTAATATATTGGTGAGTACTACTGAAATATTGTGGCTATAATGGAAATAAATGAGTTGGTGATATGATTTGATTAATCAAGGGTTTTTCTTTCCAGCCGATCAGGCGACTACCGAGTTTCCCTTCCTGAATTTGGTGCTGAATTCGAAGTGGGAACGTGGGTAGGAGTTAAAGTGTCTGATGATGAGGTTGAGATCAGTGGGATTCTTAACGTGGACGGTCTGCCAGAAGTCAGGGTTGTGTGTGGTAAAGCAGAGGTGAGCGTTTATTTCCATGTACTATTGATTTCTCATTTCTAAATGGTTGTTATAATAATGGTTTATCTACTGCGTTATTTACGTTGCTTAACTCTCTATGAAGAGTTATTTTCGCACTTTGGGATGGGAAGCTAAGATATTGTAGAGAGTGGGTTTCGAATGAAATCCTGAGGTTGTCGAATAGTGGAAGATATTTTTTAACAGTTGTAAACGAGAGCTGGTAGGTAAAGGATACAATAGGACCAGAGTACACTTGTGTGACGAAATGCATTTCCGGATAACACCAATGTACACAAGGGCGCGTGTGGCGTAGTGGTCGGAGGCGCCGTGCGACACACATTTGATCGATCCGTGCGCCTCAAGCCCACTAAGCCTTCCATCCCTACTGGGTCGGCAAAGTGGTACCAGTGTTGTCTGGAAGGATAGCAGCACTGGCTCGATACATCAGTAGGCCACCGCGAATCATTGTAATGGCCAGATATGCATTCAATCATCTCCAACGTTGAGTAATGAAGTCGAGTGCATGGCTCATCCCTCAGCGATTGATCAACGCCGAGAGCTTTGTCCTTTTACCAGCATGCATAAACGGCACTCATTTTTGTCACTGAGAAAATAAAGGAAGTGGTATTTCGGACGCTGTTGTACTTTTGCAATAAAATCGTAGGTAATCTAATGGACTTTTCCGGAATGGAAACGGCTCTCGCTTGTGAGGCCAGCTCAAACCGAATTTGCTTGCTAAGTGTTTTAGTCCAGAACTGTCCGTAATAAATATCGTAACGAATGCGCAAATTTTCGTTTTCATAAATATGATCTATCTACTACGAATGTGATTAGAACTCGAAGCAGTGCACTCATCAGTTTCACTTCTAATCAGACTCTGTCTTAGAACAAGTAATAGTTCTGTTAGTGATAAATTTGTGTTTCAATCGACTAAGTACTGTTCGGAGTACGTCACCTAATTCCAATACGGTGAAAAAGCCAACTGTCCCGTCTGAAGACGAAGAAGCATAGAATTCTTCCTCGCCTGAATTCACAGAGGAAAAGTTGACAAAATTTTCCGTTTACTACTCATGTCTATCATTCTGGTCTTGGAAGGACGGTGGAGTCGAAAGGTCAACCTAATTGATGCTCGACTTTGTTCTTACTTTGAAATATGAAGGAAAATTCGTCCATGTCTAGGTTGCTAATTTGTAATAGATGTTCAAGTTTTTGTTCAGAAAAGCCTAAGGAGTTTTCCTTCTATAACCTGATTACTAAAACATGGCTCACGATGCTTATGGTTTTGACTTGATAACGCCGTTTTATTGCCAGAGATAACTACTAGATTGCGCTAGAAATCTTGTCGCCTTTTAATCAACTTTGGATATCGTGAGTGCGAAACACAACGCCTGTTTTTTTTTCGCCATAGGCTCTGTGAGTTTAAATCAGTTCACATCCACATACTAGGGCTTACGTACTTATGGAATTCGACTCTCAACTTTAACTATCAATCAATGTGTGATCGGTTCTAATTTGCGCACTACTACCAGCGGTAGAAGTTTACATATCTCTACATGACGCAGTTTCAGACTTTTGAGCCAACGAATCTGCTGACATTTCAGCAATGTCCTGATTCTCAAGAGCTTCTTCATTATTTGCAGTTATACTTAAAATGTGGCAGTCTGCATCTCCGGTATATTTCCTAGTTCTGTGAACCTGACAATATTGCTTACGCGACATTTGCTCGGGCATCGTCATTCCAGTGAATTGGTTCTTTTTGACCGACGTATGCTTTGTCGCATTCGGTGCAGCTTGTTGACGATTGCTTAGTGGTGACTGTCGATTGAAACGAATTAAGATTAAAAACATATTGGACGATTACATATGCCGAGTAGGAAAGGCACCATAATCTTCGCTTCATGCGAATTTGTCTTAGGAAGTGTTTCGATTCTTCAACTTTCTCCACCTTCGCTCAGAATATGACCAAACGATGAACAAAAATAAAAAAAAGCTTCTACTCCAACACTTTCAGCAAAAGAAGATAAAAGCGTTTTCGTAAAGAAAGGCGCCATGAGATACATGGAAACTATGGGGAACTGCATGCAAACGTGTTTGTAAAGGCAAACAGAGGAACCATTTTAAGTGTAGTAGAACATTAAATGAAATAGGGAAAAGTATATTACTTAATGAGAGACATAAATTTTTTNTTTTTTGCAGTTCTCTTGTACGTCTTGTTTTTTATTTAAACTCAGATTTTATTTCTCGTGGTTTTCTCATTTATGAAAAAGTAATTCCACCATTTTAGGTCTTGACGACTGGTCACATTGTTGACTTCTTTTGTGAAACGAGGGATTTCCATCACATTCCGATTCTTTGCCGTTTGCCTACTAATGTTGATCTTTCTCAGCACGAAATTCGAATTTGGGCAAGACGGTTAGTGATTTGGTCTTATAATATTTCTACATATACATATATTTTTATTTTTTTGTTCTATCCATCTTGACATCTACAATATGGATCGCAACACTCCTCACCTTCGATTCGTTTTCTTTCACCCATCTTCCATTAAAGTTTTTCAACTTTTACGTGTGGCTTCTGCTGCTTCTTGGCGATTTTCATTTCATCTTGAATGTCGTAAAATACCGGTTGAGTCGATTCTCACTGCAGTTCTGAGAAAACCAGGCTAGAGCGTTCCCAATTGGATTGAGAAGAGCAATTTTTCCCAGACAAGTCCAGTACCAATTTTCTCACCGTGAATAGGTGAGAGGCTTGGTGAGCACGTGAGATCGAAGCACCACCGTGCCATTGGTGATACCGCTGTGCTGTCCGCCTCTATATATATGTAAATGTATATGTATATATACACGTTTATGGTTATATACGTATACACGTGTACATGTATGTACATATATATAGATATGCACACGTTATACGTACATATATACATATATATATATGCATATATATAAAGGATCCTTTGGAAATTATTCTCGAATTCCAACCTGTATTTGCAAAATAAACTTTAGATTGATACCTACACATTCTTGGCAAAGAAAAACGAGTTCATTAACGCAAGCTAAAAAAATTTCTGCTATGACTACTACTACTACTCGTTGTTAGTCTAGCGGCGTTCTCAAAAACCTGTACTCTTTATAAGTACTCTACGAAATCTACGATTGCCGCAGCAACTCATTTGTTTAGGTCGTAATAATGTTAAATACTCTCTTGCTACTGCATCGTAAACATAAAGTTTTGTTAATCCTTAGGTAATTACTATGGGTTAATGTAGCAATTGTCTTTAATAATTGCACTGTTCGTAAGCACTCTACCTCACAGAATCTTCCTGCTCATTGCTAAAACAACCTGTAATGGCTGTCACATTCTCGCAACCAGTATTGTTACATGAACATTATTCCCTAATTATATATCATACTCTCATGAAGATGCTGGATAATGTTCCACATTATTGTTAATGCAATTTTTTAAAGCTATTCTGCTACTCCCCACCGAACTGTTTTAGTTGCAATTCATTGTATATACATTCCCAATCTCGTTCAATTATGTAAATGCTGTGTTCCTAAAAGGTTTAGGTGTCTAAGTTTGAGGTGAAGTAAATCTCTACAAATCAAGAAAATTCTTGTAGCAGAACTACCATCATGCACAATCCACGAACTCTTCACTACATCTTGGTGCATTGGTCGCCTGATAGGTTTCGTCCTCTGCACTACAGGAGGATTATTGTTACTGCTATTAGTTACTACTGTTATTTGGTGATATATGTGTGTATATGTCTATACGCGTGTACATATACGTGTATACATATATATATATATNTATATACGTATATGTAACACTGAAGGAGCGCAGTGGTTTGTGATGCCGTCGATCAGTAAGTAAATGCGCTAGTCGGACTCTATTCCTAACGTTGTTCCTCAATCCATGTGGGAACACCTTAACCCGGCTGTCGTTAAAATCACAAGGGGAATTGACTCGACCAACATTCTACATATTCATAAAGAAGACAAAATCCTCAGTCACTAACCAAAACAATATGCAAAATGTTCGAAGACCTTTTTAGGCGACGAATGGGAAGGGAACGAATCAAATGCGAAATACCTGTGACTCCGCACAATAGATGTGATAGCGGGTTATGTAATATATGTACATGTACATTTATGTACATGTCAGTATATATGTATATATATATATATATATATATATATATATAAAACACTGATGCTGAGATGTTTTCCAAACTCTGGACCACAGGTATCTGCAGTGGGGGATCGAACACGCTATTACCCTTTCCGGTGTCTAGCACGTCCCTCAGCAAACCATGCGGGTCCTTCGTTTTGGCTGTGTCTCAGCTTGTTTTGTCGATCACTGCCATCAGCAATCACTCAACCAGTGGGAGGGTCAAATCAGAATAATGAACAGTTGAAGTCTTCACTCGTCGCAGTTTCCTTATCATGCTGCTTAAATTTCGTAACTGCCCTGAGCTATAGTTTCATATTAAACGTGATATCAATATTCTAAATATATACGTGGTACGTTAACATTAATAACAAATTGAAGCAATAAGTAAATGATGATGATCGTATGGTCACTGAAAATTGAAGCGCTCTGGAAAGGTCTAGATAGGTTTGCCATCCTCTTATCACAGCGGAAAACTTTCCTTAGATGTCAAATCCAGTGTGCTAGCAAAGCCATTTCTGCTCTTCTTCACTGGGCACACTGTCTATGCTTTACACTCCCTTCAACAGCAGTAGACCCTTGCCGCCAAATTACCCCGTCCACAGAATTTTTTAAAAATAAACTATTAAATGTAGAGAGCAGCTTTTCAGGAGCCAGCCTTGATGCTGAATCTACGTTTGACGCTATATCCGCAGAATACAACTGCGGTGAGGAAAAAAAGGTGTAAACCACAGAAGAGGCATTATCCAACATAGTGGCAGGCGGTCATGTGTGTATTAAATTTGGAAAGCGCAGAAAATTTCCGTCACATATCAGTAGCAGTGAATTCCTACTTTCCTATCTATCATGGGTTTTGCATTCTTCCGGGAATCAGTTCTAGTTTTCTGGCCGCAAATGTCTTTTTTTCTCCTTGTTCTTATGACTACATCGTTAGTACCAACGGTTGATGTCTTTCCACTGAAAACTTTCAAAAATTATATCGATATCTTGTCAAAGCTTAATTTAAAAACCAAAGTAAAACGACGTACTATTGGGAATAATATTGCTGTGCAGCAGTAAGGAGCGGTCTCTTTGACAAAATTGTCGAGATCTTTTTTTCCTTAGCTGCATTGTTTACAATGAATTTAGTGCGAAATTAGTGGCCGCTTTCAAAGTTGAACCAACGTGACTAATATTAAACCACGTTGGTAGGAATAAGGCTTTCTAGAATCTACAGATGTTTGTCTGCAAGGTACAAACTTTATTAATAAATTTAAATTTTGATTTTTACGAGATTTTTTTACGACACATATTCCCTTCACATCTTGGCATAAAGTCTCATTTTTCAACTACGAGAGCAAATATAAAAACGAGACTTTGTCCAGTAAGGCAGTATGGTGGAGAAATCTTCATCTGTTATCGAAAACCCGGATTCAAGTGTTATCCTAAAGCTCCTTAGTGCACTGGTTACTTGGAGTTTTAGTGGAATAAAAGTTAAAATAAGTTTGACATAGATGGTATTTGAGAAAGAAAAATGATCTTAAGACGATAGGGCGAAGTCTGTTCTACAGTTGAATCTCCAAATATTCCAGTTGTGTAGAAATTATCGGTAGTTACGTAACCAACCATCCGCTGTTATGTTAACGATAGGGTTTTGATTACCGGGAGGATTCATTTTTATATGAAGTTCCAATGTTGACTAGTAACTTACCGAGGAACTTGTGTAACTAGTCTAGCACACATATTTCGCTTCACACTGATATTGGGGCATATGTGCACCACGTAGTGATAACTCTTTTTCTATCCTACTGGCTTTTTTCCAATCCTTTAGTTACATAAGTAGTGAGATGAGATAACGTTTCGGTGGTTAACGGAATCCAAAGTCATTTTTTGAAGTTTATTTTATTCTAGTCTCAACTACGAAGAGAGGAATCTTTTCCAAAGAGTGAAATGGGGCGTTTGTGAAGTCGCTGCAGTTATTTCTTCAGTTCCGCACCATCCACATTCTGATGCTGTTGATCCTTTCGATGAGGTACGTACTTATCGTCTTCTCATTTTTTTTTTAAATTGTAGGTTTTGTGCCATCGGTGCTACATGCTTGAGTGCAGATTTCACCTTGAACGTTAACTAGAACGTTGTTATCAACGGGCGCTTTGAGACTGGAATACCTGTTCGTACCAGCGAGGTCACAATAGCAGAAGCGTGGTGGAATTGTCATGCTTTTCGTGTTCATAAAACAGATATTTCTGCTTTGCGGCGAAGGCTATTGGTGAGTTTCTAGGAGTCCGCTCTCGTCATTTAAGAAACACCATTACAGGTGGTGCGGTTCATTCTTGATAAAAAAGAAGCTCCTAGCACCTATGGCGATTTCTTCCTTGTTCATTCGTATCACGTTTCGTCCCGTTGATCGTCGAGTGACTCAAGCGAGTGCCAGCAAATCTTCTCTTTCTTAACATCCCGTACAACAGTATCCCATGAGGTTCTAGCTAATCATAGCTGGAGTATTCGGAGATATTCATTCTGTTGAGCGTCCTTTCGTCCTTTTGTCTAATCGCTTCCTCATGGACATCGGTTTTTTTTACAAGAGATAGTCGAACACCAGTTCTTCCACAGGCGTTATCCAAGCAGGCTAGCATTCGTTCCGCTTGAATATTATTTGGTGTTGTAGGAACGATGTCGTCAACAAAGCGTAGATGGTATATTTGCTGATGGTAGATTTTTACTCCCATGTTGGCCCATTCCATTTTTCGCATGACGTTCTCTACGGTACCAGTGAATAATTTTGACGAAGACAGCTTATACAGCTCCTGAAGAATCTTTATGTGTTGTTCAGGGACACCCAGGCTGTCCATAGCTTCAGTGATTGTGTTTCTGTTTAACTGAGTCAAAAGTCTGTAAACCGACGAAAGTGAGAAAATGAGCCATCTAATGATCTAAATTAATTCTAGCCTATGATTGTTTCCCTAATTTGTTGTTCAAACCTAACGACGTCGTCTCTTTTCCACGAAAAATAGAATGTTACACGAAGAAGATGGAGAACTGGTCCCGTATAAAATTTTGGAAAACAGCGACATCGGTTAGATATAGCCTTTTATTTCTACTGTGAAATGGTCAATTTTGGGAAACTCCCACGTCCACGTTGAGAGTGAGGCCTCTGGAATTGTGTGCTATCATGAATGTCTTGGTCTTCATGATAAACTCAGACAGTCGCACAACGTGCTCTTTCCACTCTGATTCGTCGATCCCAATCTGACGTTCTTCAGGAGTTTTTCGGGGTCCAATCTTATTAGCATAAAAATCTCCAACGATGACCTTGAAGAATGTATGGTCTTCTCTGTAGAACTTCTCCAAGTCCATGTAGAAAGCTTCGACTTCTTCGTCATAGTTTGATGTCGCCGCGCAAACGACGAAGGTTGTCGAAACCGGAATTGATCCACATCTTTTTAATCGTAAACGTCTGATTCGGGTTGTAAGCTGTTCGAATGAATCGATGTTCTTGGAAAAACTCGTGTTGACGAGAACGCCGACGCCGCCGACTCCTCTACTGTCGCATGTTCCGTGAAGCAGTTCTTTTCCGATGCTGCAGACGACGTTAAATGGGTGTCGTCGTCTCGTATCGGCTAGTCTGGTGACGTCGTGCCTTACCTTTCTTGTTTGCTTAATCAAGTCTTCTATCAAGGACTCAGCTGCAAGTGTATGTGCATTGTAGGTACAGATCGGTGCCTTAGTTTATCGAGATTTAGGCATCTCCTAACTCTTGTTATCGTGTAGATGTGGTCTATCGTACGAAATCATTCCTAACCTCCAAAAGTAGGCAGGATTATTTGTTGGAGACCACTCTTAACCACCTCCGATGTTTCCCAATCGCTTCATTGCTGGCTTTTGGTCGAATGGTCCATGCAATGCAATCTGCGTGAGCGAGAACACAACCACGCACGTAATTATGAATATGCCTTCATGCCTTCCGTACTCTGGATACACCTGCGTCTCAGGGAAGCATAAGGTCACTTTGTCCGTGGTTAACCCCCATTTAGCCACGTCGCCTCGCGGCTAACCGGCAAGAGATGTCTTTCTGTGAAGGAAATCCGTAGTACATTCATATGTTTAGAATTGGCTACCTCGTTATATTCCGAATTCGAACGAGGAGAGAAAAGGACGATCGTGCCTGAATAGAGTGCTAACTTCGCCACACCATGTACGAGAAACTGAAAGAATCCGTGATGAAACAGTATGCATAAGAGAAGTTCCAGTTTCGCCGAAGACTTTCGACCGCAGGAGGAGACAGCGAGTAACTGCGGTATGTTTTCACACATTTCATTCAAGAACACTGTTGAATAGTAAATTTCCTGACTTACAAGAAGATATTTTATTAGTCGTACCCTTACTACTACAGATATTCAGCAAAACTATCATTAGGGATTGTCACTGGAGAAATTGATTAGAGACTACTGAATCACTTCAATGTCCTTAAGACTTGTCATCTCAACATAGTTCTGTTAAGAGTTCAAATGGCCAAACTTAGTATTTTCATCCAATGTGTTCTACTAATAATTCCACTATTTCTAACACAGTCAGTTATGCGTGGATCGAATTAGAATTGTTCAGTTAGAGTTCTTAATGAATTGTTCAGTTAGCGATGGTGATGCTCTTTGATGAGAAAAAGCGGCGACACATAGTATGGTTGCTCCAATATCATGTGGAAGCCGTCTTTTATCCAGATCGCAACCTACAACCTGGCCACTTCTTCCAGGGACGATTTGCTATTGGTGGATCTTTTAAGGTTTAAGTTTGAGATTTTTGAGAGCACCTTTTGTTCACTCACCGACTTCTTTTAGAACAAATGTCATGGTTACATCCAGGAGATTCCTAGACTTATTGAATGTTATTTCGACAGAGCAACCAACGAGTTGGAGGTTAGTGCCTGCTCGTTAATATGTTTTCAGAAATGAGTAAATTTACTTGCTTTGTATCCACTTTTTTCAACTTTCCACTTACCGATGAGACATTTATGCTTTGCTGATGATCTTGTTAGGTAAGCTAAGAAAATCAAG